GAATTTTCCCTTGAAAATAAATACCCGGGTATTTAACAACACTGGTCATGACACATACTTTGCGTTTGGTAGTTTGGTTTTAAAGCATATAGTATGTAATTCTATTTAATTATCCGATTCCAAGAAAAAAAAGAAAAATAAATATACATGTACAAAAATTAAATAAACATAAGTTATTAAAACAAACAATAATACTTAAACAAATATACCATTTTTAATTCTGCAAACTCGTCAATTAGTTTGTCATAATTAATAGAATTATTTAATATCTCTTTTTCTATACAGTATGTCCCCGGATCGAGTTACAAAGAGGAAAAAAAATTTTATTCCTGAATTTTCAAACTTATCTCAGCATAAATAATGAGTCGGATATGTTCAAACCACTAAATTGCACGAATTTTATACTCTAACTATAGAAGTTAACTAATTATTGCCATTTTAATGTAAAAATTTGATCTTTTTTCTACACTAAAAATTTTTCAAAGTTTAATTTATGATATGTAACCATAGAAGAGTGATGTAAATCCAAATTCTACACTCTCTAGACGAAGTCATCATTTCAAAAAAGTAAATGTGTGGTGTGCTATAACATATCAAGGGGTAATTGGGCCATATTTCTTCGACGGAAATGTAAATCAACAGAAATATTTGGATATGTTAAATAAATTATTTTAATGAACAACTTGATGAATTACCCTTAAATTTTATACGGTCAATGTACTTTCATCGAGACGGTTGCCTAGCTCACCATCACACATTGTGACCGAATGGTCCTATTTTATGACCAGCACATAGATCTTACAATTATGGATTTTTATTTTTGGGGACGATTGAAACAAATTGTTTCAATCTAGGGTGTCCAGTCCCGGTATTTAGTCCCGGTTCCGTCCCGGGATTTCTTGAAAAAAATGTAGGTCCGGGACCACTAAGAAGTCCCGGGATTTTAAAAGTCCCGAAATTAAGAAAAAAATTTAAATATCGGAACGACTACAACTAACAGGTTACAACCTGTTAAAAATATTGACCTCGAGACTCCGACTAGCTAACGGGTGATCTAACGAAACGGTTCTCCGACTTCGTAAAAAACCTAAATTGATAGGGGAATCACCGGCTAAAACGAGATATGACTTGCAATATTTGTAGAATCGGTGTTATATACCGGCGGTGCTCCAATTAATAGGTATAGTCGTGTGACACTGTGAGTGGTGGTTAACCTGTGCTCTGGGGGTTTTTGTGTGCGCGTCAAATAATTTGAGATAAATTAATAAAGCTAAATTAAACAAAAATACAGGTAATTTGAAAGTATTATAAATAAAAGCTTTTCATTCATTGTGATGAAATTTTTTTAGGTATAAGCTGTCATATAAGTTGTTTTAATGAGTTTTAAAGGTTTAGAGGCAAGGGGATTTCAGAATTTACCAACTTCTACATCAACAATTCAAAATAGAATTTTAATGTATTGCGAAAAGGTATTTGACAATTTCACCGATGAAGTACAATGTCTACGAGAAAAAGGTCGTCGTTTCAGCTTAACATTCGATGAATGGACGTCCATAGCCAACAAACGATATATAAATATTCACGGATACTTGGATGGACAATTAAGACAAAGTCTTAAAATATGGAATATAGCAATATAGGATTAGTACCTATCAAAGGATCTTTGCCTGCAGAAAAATATATTGATCTTATTGAAAAAAAACTCGAGCGATTTAAGTTAAGCTTAAAAAATGACATTGTTTCGATCACAACAGATGGAGCCAGTGTAATGGTGAAAGTAGGAAATTTAATACAACCACTGCAGCAATTATGCTTTGCTCATGGCATTCAACTTGCGGTGATTGCCGTTATTTATTCTAAAAATGAACAAAAATTATCAAACCGAAACACTGAAACTGATGGCAACACGAGTAGTAGCGAGGACGACTATAATAGTGACAATAATGAAGACCCTGGTTTTGAGTTAATTGAAGACGATGACCAAATATGCTTTAAAAAACAGTGTTCTGCAGAACTATGTAAAGGGAAACATTGCAAGGAGTTAAAACTTATTTTAGATTGTAAAACACGATGGAACAGCTTAGCTCAAATGTTAGAACGGTTTGTTTTTCTAAAGGACTGTATTCAGAAGGCTATGATTGATGTATCCATGCCGATGAATCTGACTGACCATGACTTTGAAGTTCTACAGGGAGTTGTAAAGTGTCTTGAAACTATTAAACTTACTGTGTTGGCGGTATGTAGATATGATGCCAATCATTACACGACTGATGCCAGCTTTAGATTTATGTTTCAAGAACTTTCAAAAAGTAATACTTCATTTAGCAGAGCCTTGCAATCTGAATTAAAGCAGCGAATAAATGAACGAAGAACAGTAACATCAAGTGCACTGAGCTATCTCTGTAATCCGCTTAAATATATAGAAAAATCGGATGATTTATTTTTTGATCATCCAGATACTATGGAAATATCCCACTTTTTTTTTTAACTTAATACAAAGATTATCACCCACATCGTCGTCGTCGCCAACAATGCAAGAGGAAGACGATATTCCGCTATCTTGTCTTAAAAACAATCAACAAGGTAATGAACTGTCATTAGCAGAAAAATTAAATAGGATATTTGAAAATGCAATGTCTACGTCCACCAGCACGAGAGCAATATCACCACCTCAAATTGGAACATCAACAAGAAATTCATTAATTACAATAATCAAAAACGAAATGGCCCTTTTCGAGAAACGCGGTTGTCGAGGCAAGAATCTTCAACTATGCTACGAGTATTTGCAAACCATACCGCCCACGAGTATACAATCGGAAAGGGCGTTTTCTATTGCCGGTTGTTTTGCAACGAAAATACGCTCGGTATTAGGAGATAAATCTTTAAACGCACTTGTAGCACTCAAAGCATATTTTAAAAAATAAATTTTTTTTTAATTTGCTATTTTGTGATTTTTTTTATGTTTCTCTCATTCTATATAAATTTGTTTTATTCAATTGGTGAACTCCTACAGTAACACTAAAGTAAAAAACACAAAATACGTTTTTAAATGTTTTTTAAATATTTTTTTGCAAACGTATTTTGATTTCGGGACTATTTTCGGGAATTCGGGACCTTTGGTCCATGTACCGGGAATTAAAATTTAGTCCCGAATCCCGAAAACATTTTTGGTCCCGGGAATTGGACACCCTATTTCAATCGTCCCCAAAGACGATTGAAAGAACTAAAAATAACTAATGAGATAGAATCTCTACCACTGGCAGAAATTTGTAATTCTTGCAAAGAATTTAGAAGTTGTCTTCAAATGTGTGCTGAATAGTTGATTTATTCACTTACAAAATTACATAGTGTGTTATTACATACATTTACATTTAAAATATTGTATTCAATTATTTAGCCATATTTTTCACTAACATAAGTTGTAACTTTTATGGTTTCTATGGTTACATATCATAAATTGAACTTGAAAATTTTTCAATTTAGAAAAAAGTCCAATTTTTACATAAAAATGGGAATAATTAGTTAACTTCTATAGTTAAAGTATAAAATTCGTGCAATTTAGTGGTTTGAACATATCCGACGTATTATTTATGCTGAAATAAGTTTGAAAAACCAGTAATAAATTTTTTTTCCTCTTTGTAACTCAATCCGGGGACATACATAAAAAATACATAAAAAATATTTTATTCTGGCCATTACTGAGAATGATCTTTCACCGCTTGCATTGCTTATTGGAAGGGTTAAATAAATTCTTAGAATTATGTTTAAATTAGGGAATGTTGCAATAATATTATTTTCCTGAATAAATGACCACATGGACACAGGTGAAATAATATTTTCTTTACTTATAAAAGTCTTAAAGTGTAATACTTCATTTTTCAGTTCTGCTAGGTTTAAATCTTGTTCATAATATTTTAATTCCTCTATTGAAGAGTCACCAACATCACTATCATGAAAAATTATTTTGAATTTATTATTAATAGTTTTATCCCTCAGATTTTTTTTAATGTTTCTTATTAAAGAAACGCATACAACAAAAAAAATATTAACTTTAAAATGTTCTTTCCCACTGAATCTTATTTCATGTTCTGGAATTTAATCATGAAATAGTTTTAACTTTTTCTGTGTCTCTTTCTAAATTGTCAAAATCATCTCTAACAGTTTGTATGAAATCTATCAATGAATCATATATTAAAACTGCTGTATTTAGGGATTCGTCTTTTTGTTGAAGAGTCTTGTTTGAAGCATCTATTCTCTCTAAAATCTTTTCCCATATAGTAAGTAACAGTACATACTCAAATGTATCAAGTTTTTTATGTAAATCGGCAGCTTCGGACCTTTCTCATCTTTGTTTGAGGAAAAATGATGTAAACAATGTTTAATTTCTTCATAATTTTTCTTTAAGGATTTCACAGCATCGGAACGAGCAGACCACCTGGTGTCACAAATAGGTTTGATACACCAGTGTTTGCTCTTATAACATTTTTGTAATGCATTCCACCTATGTGTAGAACTTGACAAAAATACGTACAATTGCTGAACGGTATTGAAAAAAGTAGTCATTTCCATGCAACTTTTTGCAATGTAATGACTGATTTGCGCATAGTATAAAATGGGCAGAAAAAATATGTTGTTTTATTCTGGATTGAAGTCCCTTATATTTACCTGACATATTAAACTAACTATTCTTCTGACCCATTTTCTTAAGACCGCTTTAGACGGCTAACTCCGAGTGTTTCTAGTTCTAGGTCTGGTGTTAGTTTTGGTTTTAAGTCAATGAAAAATATACAACAATCTAAAGCTGAATAACAATTAAAACTAGAAATAACACTGGTATTAGAACTGATACTAGACCTAGAACTAAAAACAATCGGAATATTTCTAGTTCTAGGTCTAGTGTTAGTTCTAGTTTTAGGTCAATAAAAATATGTAACAATCTAACGCTGAATAATAATTAAAACGCTGTTACAACTACAACAAATCGTGTTTCTATTTAGTGTTTACGATGAAGAATTTTTTAAAACAGCAAAAACCGAATAAGAACCTCTTAAAATTTGCACAAAAGTCGATAAAGTTAACGGTGTAAATTTACCAATTGTAAAATAAATCCCTTTTTGCATTCTTATCATATTAATAATCATCGTTCTTTTAAATGATGTGGTGGTTGATAACCAATCCATTGAATAAATCGCCAACGGCAACATTTCACTCTACAAAAAAGAAAATGTATAATAATTTATTATAAAAAAGTTTTTTTTAATTACACTTATCCTAACTTTATTTCCAAAATAACAATAAAGAAAAGTTTGGCAACCAACTGCTGACATGTAAGCTAATTCTTTTGCCGATTCTAAACTGAAAGCTTCAACCAAAGAGATCATGTACAAACACGTACATAAAACGATTAAAGAAACGATTGTTTGACATAAAACGACTAAAGTATAAATCGATTCGATTTCTTTGCTGATTTCTAAAATAACTTGAAGGTGGTTTGTTATTTTATTGATTTCTTTGTCCATTTCTCTTTGGAGTTTTAATGGATTTTTTAATTGATTGTTAAAAAATTTATTATTTATAGCATTAATATTTAGTTCCATCAAACATCTTTCCCGTAAAGTTTTAAAAGCACCTTGAATTATTTGTAAATGTGCTGATATATAACTTATAATTCCCATATATGTTGTATCAAAACCTATAAATACATAACTTTCTAAATGAGATTTTTAGTAATTGAGATCAACTTACCAACAATAATCCACGCAAAATTATAAACCGGAAATAATTGAAACAAAATAGCAAATCCAAAATTAATTTTCGATTTTTTATAATTAAAAGGAATAAAACTTGAGTAAGGCAAACTTAAATTAAAATTTTCTCTTTGATAATCACTTAAAATTAAATCTTTAAATGACATAACACACGCACTCAGCGAAACTGAAATTCCAATAACCAAATAAGATATTGTAATCAAATCCTTGATTTTTCGTTCCTTTTCGATTATTTTTTCCGGTATGAAATCTTTGTAAGGTTTGTAAATTTGAGAATATGAATTTAACGTTTCCATAATTTTTTGTATCCTCCTTTTATTCCAAAACCATAAAATTGCTTTTAAATCTCCTAAAAAATCTGTCATCACCATGTTAGCGATTTTTATCATCGATGGCAAATCAGAGGAAAATTTTCCAAATTCTAACACTTCGCACAATGTGAAAATAACGCAAGAGTAAATTAAGCAGAATGAATTGTGGATTAGATAAATCATTTTTGTGGACGGTTTCGAAGATTTTGGTGGAATATACAATCCGGCACCTTTTATTATAAACCAATTTAATGAAAAATAATTTGTCATCTTTTATTTTTTGTTGTAGAAGAAAGTTATTTTTTTGTGTAATATAAATTGTGAGGAATTTTATGGTTATAAATGGTATTTATAGGCAAATGTGTTGGTAGTCACATTTTATTGATTTGTGCTAATTTCAAAATTGATAAGAAATAAGGATGTAATTAAGCAAAGTGTGAAATTATTGGGTTAGTTTGAAGTATTGCAAGAAATTCTGAAGGGGGTAATTAAAAGGATTCCTTTTTCTTTTTACAAAGTCTGTTTTACCATAATTTGCACGTTTATTTTAGTGATATTGAAATTAATGGTCTAGCTACAAAATCATTCTAAAAGGATTTTTTTTTTTAATGTTGTTACATCAATCTATTAAATAGAGATTGAGAATGATGAGTTTTAGAAACTGTCCCACATCATCCTCAATTTATGGTTGAACCTCATCTATATCTATCACCTTACAATGCTTCAGACGCCCTGTAAAAGCGCGAACTACGGTAAATCCTAAGATTTTCCAGTGAAACCTAACACTTACCAACTATGAATGGTAAAAGTCCGAAATGTTCTGCGATTACCGTTCATTTTGAACATCTACCACCATCCACTCGGTAAATCTTAGGTTTTACTGCAGAGACATGGCAAATGACGAATGAGAAACCAATAACCGATGATTCTAATGTAACGATTCAGAAATATACCGATTTAGAGACAGAAAATGCAACTCAATCTCAAAAATTTTTTATAACTGAAGACCCAATATCGAAAAAGAAAGAATCTATCCTGGCAATAAGAAAAAATGCAAAATTCAATTTGGAAAATGCATTATTGCAGTTGTGGTAGATGTAAAAGACAACGAGCTTGACTAATTGGGTACGAAAATTGGAGTACTAAAGCAGCTTTATACTAAGAATCGGTTACCTTATGCTCTAAAGACTTTAGAAAGATAGAAGAAGTTGTTAAGATTGTGATGGACATCTGGACAACAGAAAACTTTCGCCGGGCAGTTCCGGGACTTGTTTCTAAAACATCGCAAACAACACGTTTGCATGTTTCACCGGGAGCAATAAAGTTTTATAAACTTTACAGAAACAAAAAAATTATCTCCGACCATCTGGGTAGTGAATCATTTTGGTTCAGACAAAGAGTTCCAAAAAACCTTCGTCGGGAAGTTACTGGGTTCAACATCACAAACAACACGTCCACATGTTCCACCGGGGATAAAAGAACCGGGATTGACCCAGAAGAGTTAGTTAAAGTTCATCACTACTTTGTAATCGAAGAGAGTTAACTTCAGCAAAAATACCAAGTAATAGATAATAATTTAAACAATGTAAAGATTTGATAGATGGGTAATTTAATTAGCAATTATATTGTAATAAATTATTAAAATAAATGATTAATAAATATATGTATTTATCTACGACTGTTTGGATAAGTCATCATTACCACACTCATTTGAGTTACGTAATGAAGTTCATTACCGCACTCGTAATGAACATTACGTAACGCATTTTTAGCCTTATCAGAACAGACTTAATTTATTGAAACGAGCAACAATACAAAAGAAAAAGTGCTACCTATTTATAGAGAAACAATACTGTTTATTAGTGGTGGAACGGATATCCGGCAACTATTCGCTATCCGGCCTATCCGGGCATTTTTTAAAATCCGGAAATTAAAAACCTATTACTTAGTAGGTGTTGGACACTGCAGATAATAATCAAGTTCAACCCCAATAGGACTTTTTGATCAACCTCTGTCATCTCTTTGAGCAACCTCATTATAACAATCCCAATACGATATATAAAATCTCTTGTTGCAGTTTCGTCTAGTTTTCTTCTCTTCATCTTCGTCTTCTTCTTCTTCGTTATCACTTTCAATTATTAATTAAAGTATCCTCTTTTTAATGCAACAAGCCGTTTTGAAAAATCACTTTCAGTTCTTGAGAAATAAATTTTTGAAATGAACTACAATTTTTCAATTGTCGCCGATTAAGTTTTAAAAATTCGTATAAAATCGATTTCTTGGAATATGACTATAAAAAGTTCCCAAAATGTTAATAAAATTGTCCTCTTTCCAATGAACCAACACATTTTGAAAAATAACTTTTAGTTTTTGAGAAAACAATATTTGAAGTTTTGATAAAATTTTCGATGTTGCAATTTTCATCGATAACTTTCAAAATTCGCTATAAAATTAATTTCTTGAAGGATCCTTGTGGAAATATCACCAATTATTAATTAAAGTATCCTCTTTTTAATGCAAAAAGCCGTTTTGAAAAATCACTTTCAGTTCTTGAGAAATAAATTTTTGAAGTAATCGACAATTTTTTCGAATTTTGCAATTTTCGCCAATTAAGTTTTAAAAATTCGTATAAAATCGATTTCTTAGAATATGAATATGAAAATTTTCCAAAATGTTAATAAGAGTGTCTTCTTCCCAATGAACCAACCTGTTTTGAAAAATAACTTTTAGTTTTTGAGAAAACAATATTTAAAGTTTTGATAAAATTTTCGATGTTGCAATTTTCATCGATAATTTTCAAAATTCGGTATAAAATTAATTTCTTGAAGGATCCTTGTGGAAATATCACCAATTATTAATTAAAGTATCCTCCTTTTATGCAACAAGCCGTTTCGAAAAATCACTTTTAGTTCTTGAGAAATAAATTTTTGAAATAACCGACAATTTTGTCGAATTTTGCAATTTTCGCCGATTTAGTTTTAAAAATTCGTATAAAATTCATTTCTTGAAGGATCCTTGTGGAAATATTTCCAATTATTAATTAAAGTATCCTCTTTTTAAATTTGCTTCGTTAGTTAAATCAGTATAAAAAAATTCATTTTGTATCTTGGATCCAAATAAGTTGACATATCTTATCAAAAATTGGAAGTATAGATCAGATAAGAAAGGAAGAAATAAAAGCAGGTGGAAACCATGTAATGATAATATTGAAGGAAATTTTTAATAACTGTTTGAAACAAAAAAAGATACTTGATAGTTGGTTCGTAGTTATACTTGCCTTGATATACAAAAAAGGAGATAGGGAACAGATCAGCAATTACAGACCAATAAGTTTACTTCCGGTGATATATAAAATATTTATGTCCATAATCACAAGGAGAATAGAGCAACACATACCATCCTCCGAAGATCAAACAGGATTTAAGAAGAACTTCTCCACGCTAGACAATATTTTAGTTGTGCAGCAACTGATAAAAAATCGAATGACTATGACTTCCTAATGATCTTATTATTTGCAGACTTTGAGAAAGCGTTTGACAATGTAAGAACAGAAACAATTTTACAGATCATACAAACATCTGGTATGGAAGACCAGTACATTCGTATATTAAACTATATACAGGTGTTCCGTGACTCGACCGACCAACTTATACCAAATATTCCGGGGTTATTACGATCAAAAAATGGTATATCACCTATAGGTGAATTCTTTTTGTTTCGGAGATATCGAAATAGAAATTTTAAAAAAACAAAAAAAAGATAAAAATGGTAAAGGAAAATTTATTAATTTACTAATTAACACAAAGTTACAACAGCTGTTCAAAATGAGAACAGCCATTTTCTAAACATGCAGCTATCCTTCGTGTCATAGAATGTTGCTAGTTAATTTCCTTAGCGAATTAGTAGCTTCAACTATTCTGTCAATCAACTCTTCGCGTGTATTTGGTTTACGATTACTACTCACACGAGATTTGAGGCAATCCCACAGAAAAAAATCTAGAGGGGACAAGTCAGGTGACCGAGTTGTCTCCCAAAATTTGATGCAAAAATGAGGCCCAACAAGTTGATTATTTAACAAGACGCACCATACGTTGACGGAAAAGCAATATTGATGATTAACAACGATTGTTTCGTGTGGGTTTTGATCCGTCCAGAACTACGTGTGTTGTTGTTGACGTGAGAACTACGTGGACCTTGTAAACTGGGCCTCATCCGTAAAAAGTATGTGTGAAATAACTTCTAAATTATTTTGCAACCACTGACAATACCGTACTCGATTTTCTAAATCTTGAGGAAGTAAATGCTGGACTTTGTGTAAATGATAGGGATAAGGTCCATCATAGTGCAGAATTCTCCATACGTTGGTTTGAGGAATTCGTTGTATGGGATATTCTACGAATACTGGTAGAAGGACTTCGTTCAATTGCATTTAAAACTGCTTCAGACAAAAAATCATTAAATTGTCAAGACTAACTATAACTTTTTTTAATTACTTCTGTATCTCCGAAATAAAGAGTAATTCACCTATAGGTGATATACCATTTTTTGATTGTAATAACCCCCCAATATATGGCATACGTTTGTCGGTTGAGACACGGAACACCCTGTATATCAAAACTTAAAACTAAACATCGAAATGAACAATAATAACTGGGCGATAACTCTAGGAAATGGATTGAAGCAAGGTTATGTGACTTCCGCAAAGCTATTCAATGCAGTATTGGAAACAATGTTTGTAGAAGAAGAATGGAAAAACTTGGGAATAAGAATAAATGGGCAATGGTTGAACAGGCTAAAGTTTGCGGATGACATAGTACTTATAGGAAAAACAGAAAGTAAGAAAAATGCTGGAAACAATATCGAGAAGACGAAAACAAATTGGTCTGGAGATAAATATGAGCAAGACAATATTTATAATTGTTAATGGAAAGGAAATCGACAAAGTGGAGCATTTCGTATATCTCGGACAGAAGATTATAACTAAAAACAAAGGAGAAGAAATAACACGGATAATGGCAATGGGATGGTAAATGTTTAATAGATACAAAAATATATGGAAATCAAACATAGAAATGGAGAAAAAGAAAAAATTGTGGGAAATGTGTGTAATGTGGGTAACAGCAAGGGCAATGCATAGAAGGATAATTGGCAGTACGAAGAAAGATAAAAAAAAAGAATGGATAAGCAAAAAGTTAAACATTGAGGATATTGGAAAAATAGTATTAGACCGAAAATGGAATTGGGCGGGTCATATAATAATAATAATAATAATATTCCTTTATTACCCAACAGGCATAGCCCAAAAAAGGATAACAATATATATTACATAATGTAATAATACAATAATATGTATCTGTATGTGAGAAAAAAAAAAACAAAAATTACAAAAAATTCAAGAAATTAACAATTGACCGAATTATAAAGAAAATAAAAATAAAAACTAAATAAGTGAATTTACATGCAGGTGATCACTGATTGTCTGGAATCCTGTTGCCCACTTTACAGAGAGTGTATGTTGGCGCCCGTCTCATAATGTTTGTCCTAGCATAAGGAATGACGAATACGCAGCTATATCTTGAGTTACTCCTTGGAACAACAAACCCTAGTCGCTCAAGAATGAAAGGGCAATCGATGTTATATTCGATAAGCCTTTGTAGAAACCTTTCATAAAACGCGTTTCTTCTGTCCATCAAGGAAATCATATTGTGTCGTGCAAGCAAATCATTTTGTGGTATACCTCGCTCAGGGTAAATTCCATCAGATTTGTAAGAAAGAAATTTTAAGAATCTACGATGGACTCGATCAAGGCTTAAGAACTCACATGCATATAAGGGACTCCAAATCAGGCAAGCGTATTCTAACTTACTCAGAACGTAAGCACAATACAAGGTCTTTAATAAGCTGACACTTGTGAAATATTTAGACATACGCATCACAAAACCTAGGGACCTAAAGGCCTCCGAACACACATTATTGATATGTTTTTTAAAATTAAGACTTGCATCAAACAGGACCCCCAAATCCCTGTACTCCTCAACACGACTTAAAGTGCTGCCAGCAATATTGTAAGGATATATGCATGGTGACGAGCATCGGCTATAAGTAAGTACACAACATTTATCTATATTAAGGTTAAGTTTGTAGGTCTTACACCATTGCACTATTGTGTTTAAGTTGTGCTGCAGCTTATCTGCATCTGCCATCGATGAGACTTCGGCATAGATCTTGATATCATCAGCATATCCCAACATCCGACAATCAATTTTTAGAAGTAAGTCATTTATGAAAAGAACAAATAATAGAGGGCCCAAATTTGATCCCTGTGGAACCCCTGAGGTAAGAGTGAACTCATTAGAAAAATATCCATTGTAAGCAACATAACATTTTCTATGTTGCAAATAAGAGGCCAGAAGTTGAATTGCTGAAGGAACAAATCCGAAAGAGCTCAATTTATACAAGAGAATTCTATGGTCAATCAGATCAAAGGCTTTGGATAGATCAGTGTATACAACATCCACCTGCCCACGTCTATCCAAGGTGCTACAGATAAACTCGGAAATCGTAGCCAAGTTGGTAACTGTAGAGCGACCGGAAACAAAACCATGCTGGGAAGCTGACACAAAGGGGCACGTGCTGGTGTACATAAAAGAATATAATAACTTTTCAAATAGTTTAGCAAAATTGGAAATTATCGAAATTGGTCTATAGTTTGAGAGGGACGTACGATCATCCTTTTTATAAACAGGCACAATTCTTGATCGTTTCCATCTTTCAGGAAATTCACAGGATGTAATGGACAAGTTAATAATAAATTTAAGAGGGCAAGCAAATATATAACGGCAATCTCCGACCATAAAACTTGGCAACAAATCATCTCCAGCAGTATGCTTATTAGAAAACGTTGCCATTAATTTAATTAGCTCCTCTTCTGTAGTGGGATGAAAAGAGTATGGCAACGGATTGAAATTAGATTCAGTGAAAGTTCGGTCAGTAGATACAGTGTGAACAACAGAAAACATGTCAGCAAAAGCATTTACAATATCTTGAGGATCAGCAAGAACATTGCTCTCACTATCAATCAGATTACAGGGTATTCTTGTGGTACGTTTCTTAGCTCGGAGAAAATTCCATATACTGGAGATAATACCATCAGTCTTGATGGTATTTTGTATGTTGTTAAGATACTTAATGTAACTGTCGTTTATTTCATTTTTTAACAACCTCCTTAGTCGCTTAAATTCCTTAAATTTTGATTTATTAAATTTTGATTTTGATTTGTTAAATTGTACCATAAATAAATTAATTTAGTGTTAAATGTACAAAAGTTTATATCAGTTGTTTCTTTTTATTGGTGACAATAAATGGCTATCTATTTATCTATCTATTATTCTTTTGTTCAGTCGGTGCTTTGCTTTGGTTTGTTAGCTTGGGGTAATGCCGCGGAAAAGTACCTTCATCGTGTGCAAGTGGTTCAGAAATCACTATGAATCTCATTATTCAGACCAAGCAGGTTTCCTGTGTTTGCGAAATCAAAAGTTCTAACACTTAGACACCTATCTGTTACTGCTATCTGTAGATACATTTATAAAAATAAGTACTGTTTACCTATTACGCTGCCAAATCATCTTTACTCCACCAGATCTAACATTTTGCAAAATGTTCCTGAGCGTAGGAAGACTGTAGGACAGGTTATCTTTTCGTTCATAGTTCATAAAGTTTATAACTATCTTCTTTTGAACTACAATCTTCAACCGTTGACTATATTACTATTTCTTCCTCCAAAGGTATTTTTGAAAAAGTTTCCTTTCGGGTACTACTTTAAGTGAATTGTATCAAATTGTACGATCGTTCTTGGAAAAATTAGTTCGCCTTTAATATAATATAGTGTTTGCTGGAAGATCAACAAGTGTTTTAACACTTAGATCGACCAGTAAACTAGTTTGTATGAAAATTAGTTGAAATTCGTCTATTTGATCTAACATTTTGCAAAATGTTCCTGAGCGTAGGAAGACTGTAGGACAGGCTATCTTTTCGTTCATAGTTCATAAAGTTTATAACTATCTTCTTTTGAACTACAATCTTCAACCGTTGACTATATTACTATTTCTTCCTCCAAAGGTATTTTTGAAAAAGTTTCCTTTCGGGTACTACTTTAAGTGAATTGTATCAAATTGTACGATCGTTCTTGGAAAAATTAGTTCGCCTTTAATATAATATAGTGTTTGCTGGAAGATCAACAAGTGTTTTAACACTTAGATCGACCAGTAAACTAGTTTGTATGAAAATTAGTTGAAATTCGTCTATTTGGATTTGAATCCGTCTTAAAAAATTAGAAATCTTTTTTCTGTTGTCTAAATTTCTACCTAAACCTTGATGTAACACACAACAACTTAATTCACTCTCCACTAGATGTCGTTGTAAGCCACAATGTTAAATACCATGCAAGTTTATAAAAAGTACGGGCTTTCTCTTTCTTACGGAAATGCGACCGACCGTGTACAGTTTAACGCACGGTTTCCTTTGTGTTAGTAGCCGGTTTGAATGTTGTCCTATCAGTACTACCTCTTTATTTTTTTATTATTACTACTCATTCTTTTTCTGCGTTAACGTTCTTTGTCCCGTTTTATAACAAAGTGTGAATCATGTTTTCGGTGTGCGCCAGTTGCGAAACTTCGCCCGAACGTTTTGCGCGATTGAAATAGCGACGAAGTTCAAATAGAATTCGAATAAAAAAATCTTTTAAAGTAATCGAATTCGTAACTATTAAAAGAAAACAAAAAAAAATTTAAAGTGATTGTTGTCCTTTTTCTTAATTGAAACGAAAGGTATATTTTTAAATAGCAACGAGTTATTATTAAAGCAATTGTCGTGTTTTTATTTTGAGTATTATGTTGTTGTTCGTTGAAGGTGATTAGAAGGTAACATCACAAAAATTTCAAATTAACATTGTTTACAGATTTCTGTAATTTTTTAAAATCTTTTTTGATTGTGTACTCAAGTCTTATTTGAATTGTAGCCTTTTTAATAAAAATAAATTAAATAATTGTTTTTAAAGAAGAAAAAAGTGGTATTTATTTATCTCGTGAATTTTAAAACTGTCATTTCCGGTGATTATTTTTTTTGTTTGGTTTTTGTTTTGTCATAGTGGGACCATGACATCCTTCGATATTTTCATATATATGATGATAAACTTGCACAAAATTATTAAAGGTTGAGAAACTAATATGAAACCATATTTCAAGGTGTTTCCAAGTGTTGTATTAAATTACTTTGCAACTTTTGTGGCAATTCATGCGTCATTAAATTAAACTCACCGAACTAAAATTATGATTTATAGCCGTCTGTGAGATCGTACTCGTGGAAAATTTAAAATTATTAAAAATAAAAATACAATTATCAATGATAAGCAACAATAAACTGTTTAGAAACGTTTTGACAGCCCGTTTTGTGCCTGTAAACTGCGGCAGTAAACGAGAAAAAATTTTTTTTGATAAAACTTTATCTTGAAATTGTTTACAATTCGAATCTCGAACAGATGCCACTTAAAATAGATAGATGTTGGTTGTAAATAGATATTTTCAATGAAAATTGTATGTTTGTTCATATTATCTAATTAATTCTTAACCTTTTATTGATTTGTTTTTCTTTGATTTTAGATTAAATTAATATGGATTATATAAGAAGAGTTAAAGATCTTTTTAAATCACAAAAGACACCATTTGAATCCAAAATAGAATCAGAAATTGAGCATAAAGAACGATGGAGATCGATTTATATTATTTATTTCACCATGTTTCTTATTTCATTAGGATTTAGTATTATTTTAACCGGAGTTTGGCCGTATTTAGATAAAGTAAGTAACTTTTAGAAGTAAAATTAGTTTCGACAATTTTGTGTCATCGTCAGGAGTCTGATTAAATTATCGGAATTAAAATTGTAGTAGCACTTTCAAATATGTAATGCACATCCGTGTCCATTCATGCATCTAATTGATTGGGCCAATACTTTTCAATTATTGATGATAATCTGTTGAGAATTGATGTCCATGAATTTGAGATGATAACATTTAAACATTAAAGTTGTAGATGGATAGGGATTTAAAATAGTTAAATGACAGTACGAATTAATCCATTAACATGTATAAGCTTGTTTAAATGTTGTAATAGCAACATTGTGATTTTTTTAACAATTTCTTTTCATTAAATTTCCAAATTCGTCAAAAATTTATTTTTTGAAATGGAATTCAGTTATTTTGAGTTATATAAAAATGATTATCTATTTTATTGTGACGAAATTCGATTTTTAAATCTTATTTAATTTCTGAGATACAAATTTTTAATCACTACCCGAGAATTGGATTGGAATCCCGAGTGATACCACTAACAACTTGTAAAACTACAAATTCATCAAATTTTCATATTTTTCTCGATATTTACGCATCTAAGAGCTAAAGTGAAAGAGAGCAATATTGTTAAGAATAAAATTTCCTACAATTTGTGTTCTAAAAGTTTTTTTATAATACGCTCGAAATTTCGAGCGTTACTATCAACTCGTAAAATTACGAATTCATCTAATATTCATATTTTCGTATTTATCTCGATATTTACGCATCTATGACCAAAAGTTAAAGAGAGCAATATTGTTAAGAATGAAATTTCCTATAATTTTTGTTCTAAAAGTTTTTTTGTAATATGCTCCGAATCCCGAGCGTTACTATCAACTCGTAAAATTACGAATTCATCCAATTTTCATACTTTCGTATTTTTCTCGATGTCTATACATCTAAGTGTAAAAGTGAAAGAGAGCAGTATTGTTAAGAATATAATTTCCTACAACTTTTGTTCTAAAAGCTTTTTTGTAATACGCTCCGAATCTCGAGCGTTACTATCGTATCAAGTCGTAAAATTACGAATTCATCTAATTTTCATACTTTCGTATTTTTCGTGATATTTATGCATCTAAGAGCAAAAGTGAAAGAGAGCAATATTGTTAAGAATAAAATTTCCTACAACTTTTGTTCTAAAAGTTTTTTTGTTATACGTTCCGAATCCAGAGCGTTACTATCAACTGGTAAAATTACGAATTCATCTAATTTTCATACTTTCGTATTTATCTCAATATTTACGCATCTATGAGCAAAAGTGAATGAGGACAATATTGTTAAGAATGAAATTTCCTACAATTTTTGTTCTAAAAGTTTTTTTGTAATACGCTCCGAATCTCGAGTGTTACTACCAATTAGTAAAATTACGAATTTATCTAATTTTCATATTTTCGTATTTTTCTCGATATTTATGCACCTAAGAGCAAAAATGAAAGAGAGCAATATTGTTAAGAATAAAATTTCCTACAAGTTTTGTTCTAAAAGTTTTTTTGTAATACGTTCCGAATCCAGAGCGTTACTATCAAGTCGTAAAATTACGAATTCATGTAATTTTCATACTTTCGTATTTTTCTCGATATTTACGCATCTATGAGTAAAAGTGAAAGAGAGCAATATTGCTAAGAATAAAATTTCCTACAACTTTTGTTCTAAAAGCTTTTTTGTGATACGCTCCGAATCCTGAGCGTTACTTGTAAAATTACGAATGCAACTTATTTTTATATTTTTGTATTTCTCTCGGTATTTATGCATCCAAGAACAAAAGTTAAAGAGAGCAATATTGTTAAGAATAAAATTTCCTACAACTTATGTTCTAAAAGTTTTTTTGTAATACGTTCCAAATCCCGAGCGTTACTATCAACTCGTAAAATTACGAATTCATCTAATTTTCATACTTTCGTATTTTTCTAGATATTTGTAAATCTAAGAGCAAAAGTGAAAGAGAGCAATATTGTTAAGATTGCAATTTCCTACAACTTTTGTTCTAAATGTTTTTTTGTAATATACTCCGAATTCCTAGCGTTACCATCAACTCATAAAATTACGAATTTATCTAATTTTCATATTTTCGTATTTTTCTCGATATTTATGCACCTAAGAGCAAAAGTGAAAGAGAGAATATTGTTAAGAAAGAAATTTCCTACAACTTTTGTTCTAAGAGTTTTTTTTTGTAATATGCTCCGAACTACGAATTCATCGAATTTTCATATTTTTTTTTAACTAAGTTTGTAAGTTTTCTTAAATCTGGAGATTGATCAGTGTAATTCCAAACATTTTCTTGTTGTTTAGAATAGTCAGTGTAATTCCAGATATTTTCTTACCGCTTAGAGTTAGGCTCATTTCAAAATCACTTGGTACTGACTTCCAGGATTATCCACTGATAAGAAATAACTTCATTGTACTTAAAATAGGTGGTTAAGCAGCCTATCTATTTTGCTTTTCCATGTACTATATTCTGCTACTAAAAAATTATATACTGTTGGCAGAAGACGAGATACTGCTGACAGAAGACTGTATACTTTTACTAGATGACTATATATTGCTGGCAGAGAACTAGACACTGTTGGCAGAGGACTATATACTGTTATTAGACTACTAAATATTGCTAGCAGATGATTAGAAACTGCTGGCAAAAGACTAGATACTGCTAATAGACGACTAAATATTGCAGGCAGAAGAATTAAAATATTTCAAAATATTTTCTTGTTCATAATATTGCTGGCGAAATTTTTTCTTAATAATTTTTTTTTGTTTAGTTAGATCCAACAGCTGGAAAAGAATTTATGGGTTACATAGTAGCAGCAAATCCATTCGGCCAAATGCTTTTTTCACCGTTAGTTGGATGGTGGAGTAACAAATTAGGTTCAATTAGAATCCCAGTTTTATTATCGCTACTTGTTTTTACAATCGCCAGCGGAACGTATTCAATTCTAGAATTATTTCCTATTACTCAAAGAAAACATTGGATGTTATGGACGAGATTTTTAGTAGGAGTTAGTTCAGGTTGGTTAAAAAAAAGTTTAATATAAATTTTTGCAAATAAATTCTTTTGTGTCTTTCCAGCAAATATTGCAGCTTGTAGATCATATTTATCGGCAGCGACAACTATAAGCGAACGCACAAAAGCGATTTCAATGATTTCATTGTGTCAAGTTTTGGGATTTATAATCGGCCCGGCTCTTCAAACGCTTGCTGTACCATTTGGAGATGAAGGAATCGAATTTTTAAAATTAAAAATAAATATGTACACAGCCCCCGGATGGTTGAACGTGTTCCTATCAATTTTCAACTTTATCATTTTCCTTCCATTTTTTTTTAAAGAAAGAAAAATTGCTGCTAAAGAAGCAATGTTAAAACAAGGCGCAAAAACTGAAAAAGAAACTTGGAAAGGAATAAAACCAGATTATTTATCAGCTTGGACTTTAATAGTAGCATTTTTTGTAATCGTCTTTAATTTTATGCTGTTGGAAACGTTAGGATCTCCATTAACTATGGATCAATTTGCTTGGAGTAAAGCGGACACAGTTTATTATATGGGTTTATTAATGTCTGTTGGAGCAGTAATCGCATGCGTTTGCTTTGCGGCAATTAGTCCTTTATGTAAAATGTTTCCGGAAGTTAAAGTGATGATTTGGGGTGGATTTCTCTTCATGGTTTTGGGACGAGGCGTTTATATCCCATGGGGTGAAACGAATCCGACCATTTATAATTCAACGTCTCGTTTAACACCCTTTCACGATAAACTACTCTGTTATAATCACAATATGAACATCACTAATACGTTTAACAAAACAAAATTTGATTTAAATCAATCGAATTTAAATTTTAATGAGTCTAATTTAAATTTATTGGATTGTAATAAATTAGTTGAATTGGTTGGTTGTCCATCTAATCAAAAATGGTGTTTTACAACGAGAAAAATGACTCTGTTTCAATTTTTGTTGGGTTATGGATTAACTGCCGTTGGTTATCCGATTGGTGTTACGTTGATTCAAACGATTTTTTCGAAAATTTTAGGGACAAGACCACAAGTAAGGATAAAAATAATCTTGGTTTAAATTAAAAAGAATTTTTTATAGGGTCTTTGGATGGGGTTAATGACTGGATCTGGGTGTTTTTCGAGAGTTTTAGGTCCTGTATTTGTAACATACATTTACACTGAATATGGACCAAATTGGACGTTTGGAATAACAGCTGTAATGATGATAATGATTACGGTTTGGTTGCAAATTTTTAATAATCGCTTAGAACCTAAGAAATTTCAAGAAGTCGTTCATGATGATGATGGTGAGGAAATGATTGAAATTGAAAAATTGGTGGAAATTAAGAAAGAAGATGTGGTGACGTAACATAAAAAAGTACAAAAAGAAGGAAATTACAAGACTTATTTTATTAGATATTAATTTGTACATATTAATAAAATTAATATAAGAAAAAGTATTTTTATAATTTTTTTATAAAAAATGTTTAAGTACTTAATAATAATAAGAAAAAAAATCTGTAAATAAATAAAGGTTTTTTATGGTATAGCTATGTATTCATTTCTTGATTTAAAATTTTTATAAAACCACATTCTTCGAAGATTTTTTATCGAAAATTTAAATATTCCATCCAAATCATTACTTTGCATTAAAAATTTTTGACACTCACACAAAAGAAACAGCACGAATAATAAATAAATTAAAACAGTTACAGACGTTGTACTCTAAAACAATTTAATAAAGTATACTTAAAAAAGAAGTGTTTTAAAGAGGGACTCACCATTGTTCTTGTTGTTTGGTTTAATACCCAAATAAAACACGATTTCAATTTTAAGTTCAACGGCCAAAGAAGACGGAAAAAATACCGTTGTATTTTGGGAGGAGTATTTTTGATTCTTGTTAACACGTATTTATGACGAAACGTTTTTTACTTTGTTGACAAAAATGGACAAAGAAAATTTTTACAAGGAGAATGATTAATCACATTTCTATGATGTTTATTACAGTGAGGCTAAGGCAACAAATATCCATCTACATTATTTCTCTGGGTATAGCCCTAAATGCCCTAGATGCCTTGCAACCTTAAATCAATAACTATCTTCTCGCTACATCTCAATCAAATGACAGTTGCAAAATAATCTACTGTGGGTGCTTCAAGTCTTGAAGTTGGAAGTATCTTGTGTACTTCGGGAGTGTGGAACTATTATTTCTTTGGACTCCGCCGAAAAGGCGTTACTTTGGAGTTCACTGCTTCCAATTAGATTTCATGGGTTCTTTTCATCAGCAAATGTTGACGTGATGATGAATTTTTCATCGCGTTCCTTTCTCCTCATTATCTCCCTTAAATAATCGATAACAGCGTTAATTTTTTATCAATTATGTTTTTTCCTGGGTCACATAGAAGTCTATTCCTGCATACCCTTCCCATATTTCTTGCAATATTTTAATCAGTTCCAACCTAACTCAACCAAATCCAACTCAACCCAACCCAAAACACAACCCAACAAAACCCTTTTTTTTTTAACGAGGTTGGGGAAAAATTTGCAAACAGACACCTGGCCTTGGGTGTTGGTCGGCCCGCTAGTGTGGGGATGAGGTCTAGTCCTGACCCACTAAAAAATCCCTTTCCTCGTCTGCTCTCTTCCACCCCTCCCAACAATCCCATCAAGTAGGTTCTCCATTCAGTCATTTGTGTCTCTCGCTGACTTCCTCTCTTCCCTTCCTCATCCTCTTTAAGTATTTCCATACCTCATACCTCATTTTCCTCTTTCAATTCCTTAATCTTCTCAGCCTCCCTTTCCTTCAACTCCCTCTTCTTTTTTTGGCATTCTTCTTATTATTTTCTCCTGGCCTCTATATATCTATCTATAATAATAATAATAATAATAATAATATTTATTGATCACAATGTACTACACTTCAGAATAAACAACTAAAAATGGTTTCCAATAAACAACTGATCAATCTTATGGTGAGGTTCAATATATATTGTGCTTCCACCTCACCATAAAGTATATAAAGAGAAAAAAAAACAGTATAGCGTGTTAAATATAAAAAAAAAGAATCGCGACAACGGTATAAAGCTATAAACAAAACAAGAGTTTTAACTACTAAGTTTTAACATATAATACTTAGGTGAATACTACCAAAGGCTACAACAAGGCGTTATCGATACCATGTCAGTACTCGAAAGGGTTCCCCAGAAATTAAGAACAAATTTAGGTAGAACAAAAAGATTACAAAAACATTCAAACGCAAAAGTAAGATCTGTGACTATTAAGAGATTTACAGGTATTGCGAACACTGCTGCCCAAACAGAAAATCAGCATAGCGCCTCCTGGCGGTGGCGGCAGACCCACACTCTGTCAATGCGCAACCAGAAGGGAGCTCATTAATTACTTTGCATATCTGGTATGAGAAGCATTTTTTAAAACTCATAGTGTGGAATATTGGTGGAGATAGCCTTCCCTTAAACCTCACATTAACCGAGTGCACGTCACCCGGAAAAGACAACTTTTTTACAAGATACGCTGGTTTATGTAGAGTGAGTAATTTATGGTAAAAACCTACAGCATGCAACATTCTTCTCCCCTGCATGTTCAACCACTTTAAAACCGGCAGCTTACAATTTTCCTCTTCAATGCATAGGACAGAATGCATCCCGTATTCATTATGCACCCTATAATGAATACGGGATGCATTTCAATACATCGCCATAATTAAACATTGATAGTACTAAACATTCGCATAGGCGCACTTTTGCACTATGATTAACTAAAGTTCTGTTAGTATAAATAATTCTAAGACTACTGTAAGCTCTTTGAACGCATTTATTGACGTGTTCATTAAAAGTAAGGCCCTCATCGATTAAAATGCCTAAGTTTTTTACTATTTTTTTAATAGGTAGTAATACGTTATTTACACAAATTTGTAAGTCATTAATGACTTTTTGCTTTTTTTCTGAGGACCAAACATAATAACGTTTGATTTTTTCTGATTAATTTTAAGTCCATGTCGGCTTGAGGTGTCACGCAAATATTCTAGATCACTATTAATTCGCACATAAGCCTGCTTTATATCATGAGCCGGAAAAGAATAGTATATTTGCGTGTCGTCGGCGTAAAAATGGGTCTTGCAATGCATAAACCCCTGGTTAAAGTTTGATGTATATAAAGCATAAAGCAAAGGCGAGAGTATAGAACCCCGAGGAACGCCCGAACTAGTGTATTGATATTCAGATTGTTCATCATCACCCATAAATACGGCTTGTTGTCTATGTGTTAGAAAATCATATAATAAGCGGGTAGATTTATTATCAAAACCGGAATACCTCAAAATTGATGCCATTGTCTCATGATTGACCGTATCGAACGCCTTTGAATAGTCTAGTAGGCAAAGAACTGTTAAATTACCTCTATCGGTTTCGCGAATTATATCATCAATGATATGTATCAATGCTGTCGTGCAACTGTAACCCCGTCTGAAACCCGATTGGTTCTGTGGTAGTATGTCATTCTCCACAAAGGAGACCATTTGTTCATAAAGAATTTTTTCTGCAACCTTTGCTAATACTGATAGAATACTAATGGGTCTCAGTTCGCTAAGTACCGTAGGTTTAGAGATTTTGGAAAGCGGTTTTATTACAGGTTTCTTCCATGTCATTGGAAAAACACATGTTTCGATGCACGCATTTATAGTATCGCGAATATAAGGTAATGGTGGTGTGGACAGCACAATTTTAAGCATTTAATATTGAGACGATCATGACCAAGCGCATTGCTCTTAATTGAATTAATTGCACGCTCCACATCCATATCCTCCACCACGCGAAAGCCAAAAGACATCATTGGGTGACCCAAGGTGAGGTAGAACTGACATGTTTTTTCTTTTAAATATTCCCGTATTTCGCAGTGCTTTCCAACAATCATTTGTGATGTTCAATTGCGACTCAAAATATGCCCTGCGCTCATGAATAATCGAGGTATTAACTAAATTACGCGCTGATTTGTAATATTCCCATTTCGCTTCTGATCTGTTATTACGGTAGTTATTGTACGCCTTGTCGCGCAGTTTTTGCATATGCTTTATTGTATCTGTGATCCACGGGCACGGGGTACGTGACTTCTTGATTAATTTAAGGGGAACATGTACGTCAAGAACGGCTAAAACGAGCTGAGTTAAAAAGTCGGCTTTGATGTTTGCGTTGTCTAGATGGAAAATATGGAAGAATGGCATTCGATACAAGTCCATCAAAAATGAATCATAATCCAGATCTCGATATGACTTAGTTATAAAATGGGGATCAGGCTCAGTGTTGGTAGTAATTCTCAGTTTACAAAAAACCATATCATGATCTGACCTCATACACACCGCTGTCCTCCACTAAATTAGTATTAGAAATAAATATTAAATCCAATAAAGTAGCGGACCGCGCTTCGTGTAAGGTCAACAATTAGCTGCTTCAAATCAAAGGGTTCCATCATGTCCATTAATGCGGTGGTTGAAACATGATTACATTTCAAAAAATCAATATTTAAGTCACCAGTTAAGATGACTGTATCCGCCATTGGAAATAAATTTGAGAGTGTGGATTCTAATTCATTCAGAAAAACCCTAGTTCAAATTCGGTGGTTTATAAACTAATATAAAACTATAAAAACTATCTCCACCTCCCCTCTCTACTACTGTCTCAATTTCCTTCTAGCTTCTCTTTTGCCCTCTCTGCATTCCCTATCCCACCATTCGTTTCTTCCCCGTCTAACCCTCGATCGCCCACTCTTTTTCTTCAACGTCGTCTCCCTAACCACCTCAATTAGTGCATTCAACCCGTCGGCCCCCTCCACTCTCTGACCCCAGCTTGCCAAGTTTCCCCTATAATGTTCTATCCCCTCTTTCGACCAATCTACCCTAATGTATTTTCCACCATGTTCCATTATCTTTCTGTTCCTTCTTCCCCCTCGATCCCTTTATGCACATTTCTAGAGGCTGGTGATGCGACTCTACCAACGCCCCAACTCTAAATGTTTCTATCCTCTCCCGGGGATGCCCCCCTTGCACCCGCATAGGTATATTCCTCTTCATCTCCTTCCTCCATATTCCCACTCAGTATCTCCCATCCTCTCTCCTCTACCCACCTCAGCATCTCCCTTCCTTCTCCATTCAGAATCTTATCCTTGGACCGTCGCCGCTCTCTCCTCTTCTCCTTCTTCCCCTATTCTTGCAGTAAAGTTCCCTCCAATAATCAGGTATAAATAACCTTTTATACATTATTTCTATGGCCATAACGTTAACCATTATCCTTTTGGTCATAACCTTTTCAGGTTACGCTCTAATTGACATCCAATTTCGAAATTTACCCAACTTTACTTTGCCGCTCTACTCTTGACCACTGCTCGTCTGTCTCTCTTAATCAATGCCATAAAAAGAACCAACTCCAAACAACCAGCAGACGCAATGGTCTAGAACCTAGGTCCTAGGATAGTCTTGATGGTAGCCCATACTGAGGTTATTTCCTAGAATTCCAGCTATGGTGTCTAGAATTCCAACTCTAGACACCATGGCCACTATTCTGTCGCGAAAGTAGTCCTGGTTGATACTTTGTTACTACATTGCTATTTAATGACTAGATACTGCGAATTGACGACTAGATATTGCTGCCAGAATAGTAGATACTGGTGGCAGAAGACTTAACACTCCTAATAAGGGAACTAGACACCGTTAATAATATAAGAGTTTTAGAAACTACTTGCAGAAAATTAGATACTGCTAATGGAAGCTTAGATACTTCCAATAGAATACTAGATACTTAATAGAAACTACATTGCTTGGAGAAGACTAGGTTAATGTTATGTGATCTTTCCTTACTTCGTAGAGGAAGAGATAAAAATAAATGCGTATTACGCACTGTAACTAGAGGTTTCCTCAGTTCGTGTTTAATTGATTTGCCTTGAGCTAGTTTCAGATTCTTCTCCTTAATCCTCGTGGGCCGACTCCAACCTTTAGACGTGACGTGGACTGCATAAACCTGGCGGTATCTGCGATAACCTTTAATGAAATTTTTGGTTGCATAACTATTTTGGACGATACTCAGGTTTATAGGGTGAAGATTGAAAATTCATTTTGTTCAGTTTATAAAACATTTAATAAAAATGTTAGCGAACAAATATTTAAAGTTTTAAAAGCTTTTATAAATATGGATAAATCTGGGTCCTTCAACAGTTTGTTTATTCAAATCAAAACATGCCTGTTCAACTGCACTAACAACCGGAGGACTTCCACAACTAAAAACACCAATTTGACTCACCTAAAAAAAAATAAATAAATAAAGAAAAAAAAATTTTTGTTTTTTTTTTTACTTCATTATGAAGAGTTTGTATGGTTCTAAATAAACTAGGAAATTCCGGTCGACCAAAATGAGTAACCGCCTTTAAACTGGTAAATAAAGATTTCCCAGATATTTTTTGGTAGTGACGTTCACAAATGTACAAGAAAATCGTACGCAAATCGAATTTTTCGTAGAATTGCGTGATGAAAATGTGAGCACTAACGATTTCCTCTGAATCGTTTTGTTCGACTTTACTCAAAATATCCACCATCCACTCAAATTGTCGTTGGGTTTTCGCCACCCAAATGAAATAAACCTGTTTGCAACGGAAATTATTTGCTATCTTTGATTTGAAAACGATGTCTTTTAAAATACTAGCGAAAGGTGTTACACCAATTCCAGCACCGATTAAAATTGATACATCATGATCGTACCAATCTTGATGACCTTCACCATATGGACCATCCAAATAAATCTAATAAATAAATAAAATTAAACATATTAAAAGAAATATTTTATTTTGTTGTACTTGTGGTAAAGATGTTGTGGATTCTTCATATAATTTTCGAATTCTTTCGGTCCATGGTCCAACAGCTCGAATATGAACGGTTAGATGAGTTTCATCCGGACTAGAAGAAAGAGTAAATGGGTGGAATTCACCGGGGTTTAGACCCAAACAAGCGATGTTAACATATTGGCCAGATTTGTATTGGAAACTTCTTGGTTTGATGAACTTTAACATGGTGACTTGTGAAGGGAGGATTTTTGCTTCTATAACTGGGATTTGAATCTTTTTTCTTCTCACGCTGATTAATTTGTCTATTACGAATATTATTAAGCATGGTAAAAAGAAGTAATGGAAAAATGGTTCCTAAAAAATGTTTTAATTAATTCATAAAATCTTGTATTTTTTTAAAAGAAACTTGCTTGGATTAATCTTCCCGCTCCATGTAAAATCATAAAAATAAAAAAGATTGGGTAAAGATTGTGGATGTACCAAAAAATGGTGTATAATCGTTTTCGAATAATCCGAAGTGAAAAAGTAAAAATCATAGCCATTAAAACAACTAAAACCATTCCGGAAAATCCGGTGATCGTTTGCCATGCCCAATAATGGAACTTAGGAATTTCGTGAGTTCTAAAAAACGACAATTATTGATTATAATGAAACCAAAAAAAATTCTTACGCATGGAAATAATTTCTAAATAAACAAGTTAAATCATCGGATGTTTGTGTTGAAATGTGATAAAAATTAAATGCGTGCCCAACGATGTGCAATATAGTTGATATTAACGCGCAAACGGCGATGTATTTGTGTAAATCAATCACTGAGTCTAATGGTAAATATTGACCTAAGCTTAGTTCTCTGAAAGTACTAAAAGTGTTTCTGGACATGGTTACTAAAAGGGTGGAGTAGGTGAACATTTGGGCGGAAGCAGCTCCCCTTGTTATTGTAACACCGTATCCGGCGATTCTTCGAAGACCTCCATGTTCAGATTCAACACTATAATCTAAAAAAGAATCGAAAAATAATTTTGAGTAAAATAAGATGTAATAAGAACTTACGATAAGCTCTTTCAGCAAAAATTCCAATTAAAACTAACGTATAAAGAGTAACCCAAAACAAATAAACAGCATTATTTTCAACATAACTTGTGGTACTTGAAATAATGTTAGATCTCTTCGTTTTAACACCCTTTGCTAAAGACTTTTCGATGTTGTCATCAATCGTTGATGAATTAGTTTTTGCGTTAGCTTTAAGTCTTGCTTGGATATCTTCTTTAGTTCTAAAATAAATTAATTAAATAAAAATAACAGTAAAATCCCGATATAACGTATTAATATGGAGAAGGGAGTGTCTATTTGGCTTTATATTTAAACCTTGGATGGTAGAATCTAAGAGGACTGCTACATCTCGAGAACAAGTGCACACAACTAACACCAGATGTAGAATTAGAAACATTTGGGTTTAGCCGTGCGTCTGAAGACAGTATGGCAACTATGGCAACTATGGCAATTATGGAAATTATGGAAATTATGGCAATTATGGCAATTATGGCAATTATGGCAATTATGGCAACTATGGCAACTATAGGAAAACAGAAAAAAAACAAAAGATGTAAGTCTACAGGTCAAGTAAAAGAGAAAAAGAAAGTCGGATCAAGCGAAAAATGATTGAAAAGGAGCAAATAAAGCTGTCAGCTGAAGAGGGAAAAGAGAAGAAGCAGATGACATCAAAACTCAGTCTCAGATAACTATAGAGACAACAAGCGATTTCTTAACGAAGCTTTGAATACGAAAAAGCTACGAGCATTACGCAACTCTGTGGGTAAATTATTCCATAGAGTTATAGCTTGTACAGTGAATGATCTGTGATATATTTCAGTGCGATGAACGGGTAACATAAGTGAGATATCAGACTGTGCTCTAGTAGGAAGACCGCGAGATGCCATGAACTGAAATGCAGTGAACAGGAAAATTGGAGATTGAGAGGAAAGTATCTTGTATAAGGTAGTTAATATGCGAAAGGATCTACGCCTCTCAACGGTGAGCATCTCGAGATGATTACCATATGGTATAACATGATCATACTTTCTCAGGTCGAAAATAAAGCGCAGACAATTATTTTGTACTAAAATAAGAACTAAAACTAGAAACTTTCGCGTTTTGCCGTGCGTCTTTTAAGAAAAGGTTTGACGTTTCGGATACCATGTTGCAACCTTCTTCAGTCGAATCTTCTACGAAGAACCTTTTTGAAGGTGAAGCACCACATCGACTCCGCTGCAGCACGCAGAATCTTGATTAGGACAGAACAAGCACTACTACGAGAAAGTATTCACAAGACCTTCAATGATCTACAGAAAATAAGTGAGAGGTTACTACGACTCCACCTCTCACTTTCTAATTGTATGTCCGGGGGAGACTGGGATAAAGTGGACAGACTAGCAATGGAGAAGGCTGATCGTGAATTCCAGAAGACCCGTGACACGCACATCATGAAGTTTGAATCCCTGGAACTCCGGATACAAAAGAAGAAAAGTAATAGTTTACCAGTAGAAATAATCATCATCAACAAATCGAGTGTCCCACTAACGAAAGACGAAACCACGCCAAAGGATAAAACTACACAATCGGCCTGAAAAAGGTCCCAAAAGAGGAAATAATCTGCGAAGTGGAAGCAACTGTTCGAGGGATGCCCGCACCAAAAGCCGAAGAGATCCGACAAGAAGTTGCGAGAGTACTGAAGTCAGCAAAACCACCGAAATCCAACTTGACGGTTGGTGAAAAGAAGGTAGGGTCTATTAAAGAAAAGTCAGAAATTGTCGTTTTACCAGCAGACAAAGGGAATGCCACTGAGGTTATGGACAAGAAAGAATATGACGACAAAATGATGAACCAGCCACCTACAGGAAGATCAAGAAGGACCCCACAGACAAAATCGTAAGGAAAATGAAAGACCTGGTAAAATCCACAGGAATTCCAGCAGAACAGCAGAAAGGTTTGTTTGTGCAGACGCCGCACAGTGGTCCACAAGCGGTAAAATGTGAACGGAAATCAAATTTTCGAAATTTTTTTTTCGTTTTTTTTTTACATGTTACATGTACTTTAGGTCTTAATAGACTGAGAGCTGAAAGGAATAAAGTCTTATGTACTTTCTAGTGCCAATTGTACGCAATAAAACAGTACTACAATTCTAGTGTATTAAATATTATAAAATGCTACAACTTTAGATGAAGAAAATATATTGTGTTCCACTTTTTCAAGACAATGCGTTGTTGCTATCTTGAACAGCATAGAAAGGTCTTCATTTGGCACTTTTCTAATTTTTAAAATATTGTTGCAGAAATACGTAATAAGCACTTCTTTTAAAGCTAATTAACACCTACATCCAAATATTTGAACATATATATCTCGCAGAAGACGCAAGAAGAACTTTTGTCGCTAGAATATTCTTATTCTTTGAGATGTGCTCTATATAACATGATCACCACATCTTGCTTTAACTTGCTCCTTACCAAGATATTAGCGATCAAAGATGATCAGTGACTGAGTGTGTTATTGGACCGTTTTCATATAAAATGCTTATATTCTTTTTCTTAAAAGATAAATCTCGTATATTTGGTGTAAACTCGCATAACAATAATAGAATACCAGACTTAAAGTTTCGGGCATATCTAACAACCGGAAGTGGATGTTAGATACAGTGCGGCAAAAAACTGAAACACTGGAAATATCTACTTTTTTTATAAGTATGAAGGCTTCCACGGCCGGGGTTAATTGCACTAATATTAGAACTAAAACTAGAACTAACACTAGAAACTTTCGGGTTTTGCCGTGCGTCTTTTAAGAAAAGGTTTGGTTTTCGGATGCCATGGTGCAACCTTCTTCAGAAACACTTGGAACCAGTTTTATTAAATGTTATTTAAAAAAAAATTTTTAAATGTTTGGATAATTATCCAAATGTAAATGTAAATTCTATATTACATTGTAAGTGGGGGTTTGATGGTAGCGGATGTCATTCGACTTATAAACAAAAGTTCATCACAAATGCAGAGGGAAAAGATGATTCGCTATTTATGTCTTCCTAGTCTCATTACGATTGGAAGACAATGATAATAATATTGTATTGTGGAAAAACCCCACACCATCATCTATACGGTTTTGTAGACCGATTAGATTACAATGGGTGCATGAAAATGCCGCTCTTATAAGCACCGAAGAAAAATATATATTTCAAACCAAATAAGTTCCCTTCAGCCATATACCTCAAAATGTGTAAGTGTTAACTTTTCTCTTTATTTCACGATGGTGGATGGCAAGGTATAAAGTCTTCGTTTTCTTAAAACTTTATTTGAATTATTAATACATGTTGTAGGTCTGTAATTCTTTGATGGGAATTTGATGGAATCATCTGGAATGGAATGTTATTTATGCAGAGCAAAAATTTCACAGATGAACGGTAGAGCTAGAAGGTTTTAAGTTTGGTTTGTCTGTTCTCCTTGCATACATTCGGTTTTTTGTGTGTTTGCTTCACATTTCATACAGATTAGAAATTAGAACTTGGAAGGTGTCTGGTTCATACGTACTTTTACTAAATTATCATCAGAGATTATTGGTATGACAATTTTATGGTAAGCACGCATGTACTAATCACTTTATACTTCATTTAAGGAATTGACGAGGAACTAATACAGCGATTTGGCGTTGTTTTGGCTGCAATAAACAGTGGGTACAATATTAATTGCAATGAATTTGATAAATATTGTTTCAAAACTGCCGAATTCGTCCATTTTATGGTTAGTACTATATGCCAACCAGCGTTCATAAAATTTTGATACATGGATCTGCAGTCATTAAAGAAACTCTACTATCTATTGGAGAGTTGTCGAAAGAAGCGCAAGAAGCTAATAACAAAAAAATCCGAAAATTTAGAGAGAGCCACACAAGGAAATGTAGTAGACTGGATACGAATGAAGATCTATTTAAAAGACTGCTACTCAGCTCACATCCATTTATAGGTAATTTTCAACAGCACATTTCTAGAAAACATAAAAAGATGAGTATGGAGACTAAAAGATTATTTATAATAGACAATGTAGAAGACCAGGAAGAAGAAAAAGATCGCAAAGAAGAAGATGAATATGACGAAGAACAAGAATCAGAACAAGAGCTATATGAGGCAGGATGCAACGAAGATGAAGATGACGAAGAATGGTCTGAAACAGAACAAGAAGAAACACATATTGTTAAGCAACGTAGATAATTTATAGAGAATTAAATTCCCTTTCTGATAGGCTAAAAAAGCATGGTGCGTTCCATTTAAAATTTTCTACTTTCTCGTCATTGAAAATGGAGAAACAATAATTCAATTTTTGACCATCCTGTATAAGATACTCCGATACAACAAATGACAATCTATTTGACAGCATCTGAAGAATAATCGTACCAATTTAGACCTTTTTTGAATGAACGTTGGCTGAGATATGGAGTTTTAAAGAGCATGGTAAAATTTACCAAAAAAAGTTTAGAACCAAAATAACTCGAAAACGAAAAACGCTAGGTACCAATAACTTTTATCAAAGTCAACCTATTTTTTTACGTACAATTAAATGGTGTAATAAAAACTATAGCATTCTATTTAAAATAACGAAGTTATGGTTTACTTCCGGTAGACCGGAAGTGGCAGCCATCTTGAAAGTATTTTAGATTGAAAGTTCCGAATGAACAACCCATGCTACCGAAATTTCAAAATTGTACGAATAGTGGAACCTGAAAAAGTTCTAACGAACCAGTTACGTGAGACACTGTAGTTAAAGATTTATTTATAGAAACCTTACATCGAAGTAAACTATATAACCAATTTAGTTTACACAATTTTGTATTTAGCTATCCTTCATGATTTAATAGCGTTGTATAAAATTTTGTATTTATCCAATTCTAAGGACCTAAATTATATGAAAAAAGTAGAATGTGACCTCAAGTAAATTAGTACTTCCGGTTGCCATATTTGATCCAAAAGTTCACAAAGTCTTTAGCATATAGTCCTATAGCCATATACCAAGTTTCAAAAAATTATCTCAACCCAAACTGCGTTAAAATATTTTTGTTCGGGTTTTTTCGAATTTAGACCACTGTGCGCCGGTACCACCAAGAATTTATGGATTACCGAAGATTCATAAACTAGACGTCCCCCTCCGCCCTATCGTCAGTGCCATCAACTCCCCAAGATACAAGTTGGCCATATATCTTGCAAAGATTCTGTCTCCTTTCACAGGGAATACGGAATCGTATGTCAGGAATTCTACACACTTTGTGGAATCGGTAAAAGGTATAAAGCTAGATGCTGAGGATACTTTGGTGAGTTTCGATGTGGAATCCCTTTTTACTAGGGTACCAGTTAAGGATGCTGTAGATGGTCTCTGCCAAAAACTCATTCCCTAGGGATTACTAGAATACGTGCCAGGTCTAGTGGAGTACTGTTTATCATCGACGTATTTCAGCTGGAAGGAAGAATTTTACGAGCAGTTCGAAGGGGCAGCCATGGAATCTCCATGGCTGCCCTTCGTTTTGCCCTATTGTTTTTAATTCGCAATATACGACAGCCCCTTAACACATTCCAAATTCTTTTTTGATTAGATTTTTTGTGTAAATACTCTAAATATGTTTTCCTTTCAGCATAAATAGTAAAATTAGTATAATTTCTCAATTGTTTCTCAATTTGCTTGCTACGTTTATATTTTTTTTAGCTTTATCTCTCAAATTTTGGTAACGTAACAACTTAATATTATCCGTTATCCAAGGTTTCCTAGGTTTCGAAATTCTAACTGTCCTCACTGAAGCATGAATGTCAAACAAATTCAATATTTGATCATTAAAAAACTTTAATTTATCATCAATCGACATTGCAAAAATATTCAGCAACGAAGGAATCATAATTGAATGAGTTGCAGTCTCTGTATGTGTAACAAAACGAAGATGGTTTAAGCATTGCACAGCTAAATCGACAAAAAACCAGTTCATGATCAGACATCTCAGGATGAAGAACCCCAGATTCCAATACTATAGAAAAATCAGACATCGCAATAACATCAATAGTCTTCATCGAACTATCAGTAATTCGGGTAGGCTCACCTATTAATTGAGTCATATCAATTGTTTGAAACATATTCAACAATCTTACAACATAATTGTTGCTAGTATCAAGAACATCAATATTAATATCCCCCAAACAGAAAACAATCTTTCCCAATTAACATTGGAAGGATGTCTTAGAAGAAGAGTTTTTGCAGCATTGCGTCTGCGCATGAGATCTCTGACCTCATGGTTGAGCCAGGGTGCAGGTAAGTGTTTTGTTTTGCGTAGAAGTAAAGGGGCATGACAGTCAAACAGTTCAGTAATTTGTGTATTGAAGTAGTTAACCTTTTTGTTGATATCCGACATCCGGTATAAATTTAACCAATCGATGGTCAAAGCATCAGATCACACGACGCCCAATCTCAAGTGCGCAATAGATCAAGAGGTTGGAGAACTGAGACGCTTGAATTTGAACCATGAGAAAGTATGCTGTCTGGACAGGACGTTATAATAATGTCCAATACCGTATGTGTTTCAAAATATACAACAATCTAACGCTGAATAACAGTTAAAACTAGAACCAACACTAGACCTAGAACTAGAAACATTCGGGTTTAGCCGTCTTAAGAGACTTGCGCCTAAACCCGAATAATTGTAGTTCTAGGTCTAGTGCTAGTTCTAATGCAAGTGTTAGTTCTAGTTCGGGTTTAGTCGTCTTAAGAGGCGTACAGATAAACTCGAATGTGTCTGGTCCTAGGTGTAGTATGAGTTCTAGTTTTAGTTCAATGAAAAATATACTACACTCTAATACTGAATAACATCTAAAACTAGAATTAACACTAGTATTAGAACTGACACTAGACCTACAACTATAAACATTCGAGTTTAGCCGTCTTAAGAGACGTGCGGCTAAATCCGAATGTTTCTAGTTCTAGATCTAGTGTTAGTTCTAGCTCTAGTTCAATGAAACATATGTAACAATCCAACGCTGAATAACAACTAAAACTAGAACTGACACTAGACCTAGAACTAACACTATACCTAGAACTAGAAACATTCGGGATTAGCCGTCTCAAGAGACGTACGGCTAAACCTGAATGATTCTAGTTCTAGGTCTAGAGTTAGTTCTACTTTTATTTCAATAAAAATATTCAACAATCTAGCGCTGAATAACAATTAAAACTAGAAATATCGTCCTTGATTTATACATCATATAGACAACTCGGGGAATACTCCTGTTTATCTATGCACATGGATTCCATCTATGCGCACTAACATTTATATTTAAATATAATAATGTATCAAATAGTTAATACGAGTAGCATGACTTAAAAATATTTTGTCTTAACTTGTCTAAACTTACTCATAAAGATTTTCAATAGTATGTCTAGCAGCATCAATTTTGGTACTTTCTTTATTAACACCTTTAAATCCTAAAGTAGCCTTATTTAAATTCTGTATATCAGGTCCAATGAGTTTTAAAAAATCATCAAACATTAATCTATCCTTATTTCGGAATCCTGCTTTATCTAGCATGGTAGCGATGCTTTTATCTAAATCTTGTTGTTGAACAGATCCACTAACAGTTTCCAAAAACGATTTAATCATTTCCATAAAATTATCTCTTGTTAAATAACCAACAGCGTTTATATCGTACATATCGAACAACAATTTTGCTTTATCGGTTTCAGTACCTTTGGCAAAAATTACTAATAAGTCGGCGAATTCTCGGAAAGAAATGAATCCATTTTTATCTTTATCAATCAAGTTAAACATTTTCTTAACGAATTCGGTTTCAGGTTGCATTCCTAAAGCGTCCGCAAATTCAAATAAAGTTAATTCAAGGTGGGTTAGTTCCATCGATTTAACATCAACCTGTAAAAGTGCGTCCTTTGAATAATCGATTTTAAAAGCTTGCGCAAAAACAACTCTGAAAAATTTATCGATTTTTTCTTTCCGACTTGAGTAAGATTCGGCTACGTTCAACCCAACTTTTAACGAAGTATAACTGCCTTCTTCGAAATTAACATTAGCCTCCTTTAATAGATCAACTAAAATTTTATGAAATGGTGATAACATGAAGTTATTTTCAAAACGGACCACAAAATCGTAATCGTTTTGTTGTTTTACAAACAGATATGGTTCATTGTTAACGGTGTAAATCATAATTGATTTTTTGGGATTTGTAAAATCGAGGATTCTTAATGTTTCTCCTTTCCTTGATAATATTCGAATTTGTTTTAAATTTTTTATTACGTTTATTATTATTGGCCGATAAGAATTTTTTTGTACCCATTCAGAAGCTGAAAAAGTATTATTTTATTACTAATTAATTAAAATTAAATTCTCGGGTTCAATTTAAAAATTATTATCTCAAAAATAGATATAGATTTTCAAGAACGGTTTTGTTCACGCGAAAGTACGTACTTTCTTCGATGAAACAACAATGTGTCATCCTTGTATCTTAAGAATTTGATTTTTCGCGACTTTTTTTTAAAACGTTGAAATAAATTGTTGAAAAATTCAAAATTTTGGATGAATGTAAAAATTATTATCTCAAAAACTAATTGACATTTTCAAATACGGGTTACTTCATTAAGAAGTGCACACTTTCTTCTATAAATCACTAAAAATATATCATGATATCTTAATAGTTCAATTTTTTATGATTTTTTAAAAGTTCATAAAGTTAAAAATTTGAGTTCGGTTTAAAAATTATTATCTCAAAAATGGAGAGCGATTTTCAAGTGCGATTTTGTTCATAGAAAAGTATGTACTTTCCTCTATAACTCAGGAACGTTTCATCCACATATCTTAAGAGTTCTATTTTAGGAGATTTTTAAAAATGATGGAGAGGAATGTTACGAAATTCAAAACTCTCGGAATTCGGGTTGAATTTAAAAATTATTATCTCAAAAATAGATTTTCAAGAACGGTTTTTTGTTCACGATAAAGTACGTACTTTCTTCTATAAAACATCAATGTGTCATCTATGTATCTTAAGAATTCGATTTTTAGCGATTTTTTTTAAAAACGCTGAAATAAATTGTTTGGATATTCAAAATTCTGGATGAATTGGAAGAATTGTTATACCAAAATCTAATTGATATTTTCAGATACGCTTCAGTTCACGAAGAAGTACATACTTTCCTTTGTAAATCACTAAAGATATATCATGATAAGATATATCTTAAGAGATAAATTCTTTATGATTTTTTAAAAGTTAATAAAGTTAAAAATTTGTGTTCAGTTTAACGACTATTATCTCAAAAATGTATAGAGATTTTCAAGAAGGGTTTTGTTCACGGTAAAGTACGTACTTTCTTCTATGAAACATCAATGTATCATCCATGTATCTTAAGAATTCGATTTTTCGCAATTTCTTTTTAGAAACGCTGATATAAATTTTTTAGAAATTCAAAATTCTGGATGAATTATTATCTCAAAAACGAATTGACATTTTCGAATACGGTTTAGTTTACCAAGAAGTATACACTTTTTTCTATAAATCACTAAAAATATGTCATCATATCTTAAGAGTTCAATTTCTTATGATTTTTTAAAAGTTCATAAAGTTAAAAATTTGGGTTCGGTTTAAAAATTATTATCTCAAAAATGGAAAGCGATTTTCAAGGGTGGCTTTATTCATAGAAAAGGATGTACTTTCCTCTATAACTCAGGAATGTTTCATCAACATATCTTAAGAGTTCGATTTTAGGCGATTTTTTAAAAATGATAGAAAAAACTCTGGGAATTCGGGTTGAGTTCAAAAATTATTATCTCAAAAATGGATAAAGATTTTCAAGAACGGTTTTGTTCACGGTAAAGTACGTACTTTCTTCTATAAAACATTAATGTATCATCCATGTATCTTAAGAAGAATTCGATTTATAGCGATTTTTTTTTAAAACGCTGAAATAAGTTGTTTAGAAATTCAAAATTCTGGATGAATTTAAAAATTATTATCTCAAAAACTAATTGATGTTTTCATCAATATCATAAAAATATATATAATCGAGATAGATATAGATAAATCACTAAAAATATAGCATGATACATTAAGAGTTCAATTCTTTATGATTTTTTAAAAGTTCATAAACTTAAAAATTTGGGTTCGGTTTAAAATTTATCTCAAAAATGGAGAGCGGTTTTCAAGCGTGGTTTTATTCATAGAAAAGTATGTACTTTCCTCTATAACTCACGAACGTTTCATCCATATATCTTAAGAGTTCGATTTTAGGCGATTTTTTAAAAATGTTGGAAAAAATGTTACGAAATTCAAAACTCTGAGAATTCGGGTTGAGTTCAAAAATTATTATCTCAAAAATGGATAGAGATTTTTAAGAACGGTTTTGTTCACGGTAAAGTACGTACTTTCTTCTATAAAACGTCAATGTATCATCCATGTATTTTGAGAATTCGATTTTTTGCGATTTTTTTTTAAACGCTGAAATAAATTGTTTAGAAATTTAAAATTCTGGATGAATTTAAAAATTATTATCTCAAAAACTAATTGATGTTTTCAAATACGGTTTAGTTCATGAAGAAGAGCACATTTTCTTCTATAAATCACTAAAAATATATTATGATTCATTAAGAGTTCAATTTTTTATGATTTTTTAAAAGTTCATAAAGTTAAAAATTTGGGTTCGGTTTAAAATTTATCTCAAAAATGGAGAGCGGTTTTCAAGCGTGGTTTTATTCATAGAAAATTATGTACTTTCCTCTATAATTCACGAAGGTTTCATCCATATATCTTAAGAGTTCGATTTTAGGCGATTTTTTAAAAATAATGGAAAAAATGTTACGAAATTCAAAACTCTGGGAATTCGGGTTGAGTTCAAAAATTATTATCTCAAAAATGGATAGAGATTTTTAAGAACGGTTTTGATCACGGTAAAGTACGTACTTTCTTATATAAAACATCAATGTATCATCCATGTATCTTAAGAATTCGATTTATCGTGATTTTTTTTAAAACGCTGAAATAAATTGTTTAGAAATTCAAAATTCTGGATGAATTTAAAAAATTATTATACCAAAATCTAATTGATATTTTCATATACGCTTCAGTTCATGAAGAAGTACACAGTTTCCTTTATAAATCACAAAAAATATATCATGATATCTTAAGAGTTCATTTTTTTATGATTTTTTAAAACTTCATAAAGTTAAAAATTTGGGTTCGGTTTAAAAATTATTATCTCAAAAATGGATAGAGATTCTTAAGAATGGTTTTGTTCACCATAAAGTACGTACTTTCTTCTATAAAACATCAATGTATCATTCATGTATCTTAAGAATTCGATTTATCGCGATTTTTTTTAAAACACTGAAATAAATTGTTTAGAAATTCAAAATTCTGGATGAATTTAAAAATTATTATCTCAAAATCTAATTGATATTTTCAAATACGGTTTAATTCATGAAGAAGTGCACACTTTCTTCTATAAATCACTAAAAATATATCATGATATCTTAAGAGTTCAATTTTTTAAAGTTCATAAAGTTAAAAATTTTAGTTCGGTTTAAAAATTATTATCTCAAAAATGGAGAGCGATTTTCAAGTGCGGTTTTGTTCATAGAAAAGTGTGTACGTTGCTTTATAACTTACGGAAGTTTCATCCATATATCTTAAGAGTTCGATTTTAGGTGATTTTTTAAAAATGATGGAAAAAAATGTTACGAAATTCAAAACTCTGGGAATTCGGGTTGAGTTCAAAAATTATTTTCTCAAAAATGGGTGGAGATTTTCAATAACGGTTTTGTTCACGGTAAAGTACGTACTTTCTTCTATAAAACATCAATTTATCATCAATCTATCTTAAAAATTAGATTTTTTGCGATTTTTTGTAAAAAAGCTGAAATAAATTGTTTGGATATTGAAAATTCTGGATGAATGGGAAGAATTGTTATACCAAAATCAAATTGATATTTTCAGATACGCTTCAGTTCACGAAGAAGTACATACTTTCCTTTGTAAATCAGTAAAAATATATCATGATATCTTAAGAAATAAATTCTTTAAGATTTTTTAAAAGTTTATAAAGTTAAAAATTTGGGTTCGGTTAAAAGATTATTATCTCAAAAATGTATAGAGATTTTCAAGAAGGGTTTTGTTCACGATAAAGTACGTACTTTCTTTTATGAAACATCAATGTATCCATCTATGTATCTTAAGTATTCGATTTTTCGCAATTTCTTTTTAGAAACGCTGAAATAAATTGTTTAGAAATTCAAAATTCTGGATGAATTTAAAAATTATTATCTCAAAAACGAATTGACATTGTTGAATACGGTTTAGTTTACCAATAAGTATACAGTTTTTTCTATAAATCACTAAAATATATCATCATAATATGTTAAGAGTTCAATTTCTTATGATTTTTTAAAAGTTCATAAAGTTAAAAATTTGGGTTCGGTTTAAAAATTATTATCTCAAAAATGGAGAACAATTTTCAAGTGCGGGTTTGTTCATAGAAAAGTGTGTACGTTGCTCTATAACTTACGGAAGTTTCATCCATATATCTTAAGAGTTCGATTTTAGGTGATTTTTTAAAAATGATGGAAAAAAATGTTACGAAATTCAAAACTCTGGGAATTCGGGATGAGTTCAAAAATTATTATCTCAAAAATGGGTGGAGATTTTCAATAATGGTTGTGTTCACGGTAAAGTACGTACTTTTTTCTATAAAACATCAATATCTCATCCATGTATCTTAAGAATTCGATTTTTCGCGATTTTCTTTTAAGCGCTGAAATAAATTGTTTAAGAATTTAAGATTCTTGATGAATTAAAAAATGATTATCTCAAAAACTAATTGACATTTTCAAATACGGTTTAGTGCATGAAGAAGTGCACACTTTCTTCTATAAATCACTAATAATATATCATGATGTCTTATGAGCTTAATTTTTTATGTTTTTAAAAGTTCATAAAGTTAAAAATTTGGGTTCGGTTTAAAAATTATTATCTCAAAAATGGAGAGCGATTTTCAAGTGCGGTTTTGTTCATAGAAAAGTATGTACTTTACTCTATAACTCGGGAACGTTACATCCACATATCTTAAGAGTTCGATTTTAGGAGATTTTATAAAAATGATGGAAAAGAATATTACGAAATTCAAAACTCTCGGAATTCGAGTTGAGTTCAAAAATTATTATCTCAAAAATGGGTGGAGATTTTCAATAACGGTTTTGTTCACGGTAAAGTACGTACTTTCTTCTATAAAACATCAATTTATCATCAATCTATCTTAAAAATTAGATTTTGCGCGATTTTTTTTTAAACGCTGAAATAAATTGTTTAGAAATTTTAAATTCTGGATGAAATTTAAAAATTATTATCTCAAAAACTAATTGATATTTTCAAATACGGTTTAATTCATCAAGAAGTGCACACTTTCTTCTATAAATCACTAAAAATATATCATGATACATTAAGAGTTCAAATTTTTTTTGATTTTTTAAAAGTTCTTAAAGTTAAAAATTTGGGTTCGGTTTAAAATTTATCTCAAATATGGAGAGCGGTTTTCAAGCGTGGTTTTATTCATAGAAAAGTATGTACTTTCCTCTATAACTCACGAACGTTTCATCCATATATCTTAAGAGTTCGATATTAGGCGATTTTTTAAAAATGATGGAAAAAATGTTACGAAATTCAAAACTCTGGGAATTCGGGTTGAGTTCAAAAATTATTATCTCAAAAATGGATAGAGATTTTTAAGAACGGTTTTGATCACGATAAAGTACGTACTTTCTTATATAAAACATCAATTTATCATCAATCTATCTTAAAAATTAGATTTTTCGCGATTTTTTTTTAAACGCTGAAATAAATTGTTTAGAAATTCAAAATTCTGGATGAATTTAAAAATTATTATCTCAAAAACTAATTGATGTTTTCAAATACGGTTTAATTCATGAAGAAGTGCACACTTTCTTCTATAAATCACTAAAAATATAGCATGATACATTAAGAGTTCAATTTTTTATGATTTTTTAAAAGTTCATAAAGTTAAAAATTTGAGTTCGGTTTAAAATTTATCTCAAAAATGGAGAGCGGTTTTGAAGCGTGGTTTTATTCATAGAAAATTATGTATTTTCCTCTATAATTCACGAACGTTTCATCAAGATATCTTAAGAGTTCGTTTTTAGGCGATTTTTTAAAAATGATGGAAAAATAGTTATGAAATTGAAAACTTTGGGAATTTGAGTTGAGTTCAAAAATTATTATCTCAAAAACGGCTAGTGATTTTTATGTGGGTATTAGTTTATAAAAAAGTACATGCTTTGCTCTATAAATTGCAAAACGTACATCAATGTTTCTTGATAATTCGATTTCTGTCAATTTTTTCAAAAACGATGATACTTGAAACTTTAGTATCTTAAAAATGAGTGGAGATGTGAATAATTCATTAACATATATTAAGAATTGCAATTTTCAAGGTTTTTAGAAACGATTGATATTTACCAACAAACATATTGCTCGAAGAACTTCCTTCGGAATCAATTTTAGTGTTGTCTTTAAATTTTCGTAATTCGGCTTCTCTAAATTTATAATAAGCGATACCCAAAATGCTTACAATAACCAGACCCAAACCCAAAAATGTTAATATGTAGCTTGTGGCGCTGTTTGAAAAATAATCGTATCTAGTTTCTCCTTGAATACAATCTTCTTTTAAGTTTTTTTCGTCGAGTTGAGGAAGGTGGTAACATTGTTTGTTTAAATCGACACCGTTAGGGTCTTTGAACTTACAGTCATTTGGAACGAGATTTTTACAGTTTTCATGTATATGTTCTAGTTCATAAGGTGCCCTAAAAACGTTTTGTTGGATATCTTTAGGATCTAGTTTGGTTACACTCATTATGATATCATATAATTTTAATTCTTTTATCCTGGCAATTTCTTCTTTAGTAAATAATCTTCAATTAAAAGAAAGAGTTATGATAAAATTGTGTAATATTAAATGAATGTACTTACTTATTTTGTTCATTTTCATACCAAAATCGATCACCATCTCGGATTCTTTCAAACTGATCTAAAATAATAGCTTCAAATAGTTCACCAGGTCCAGTATCTGTTTCTAAAATTCCACCAATCCATACATCGATGTTATTTACGTTATCTTTGTATAATTCTTTCATTTTATCTACTTTGTCTTTTTCAGCATATTTAAAATGATCAAACGACTCTATTTTATTAAGACCAAAAGCCTCTCTTGCGGTGTTAAAATCTGGAATTCCATGGTCTCTTCCCCTTTGGACATTTACCGCCATCAAATCTCTTCTTGGAAATTCTAATGGGCCAAAGACGTTTCCTCTTAAATCTTCAACGATTCTATGATCTTCTCGTTCACATAATTGATAAGCCATTCCCATTAAAAGCCGATCGATATCGATAAGGTTGTCTTTATCGTCTTTAGTTTTGAGAGCATCTTGTGGGCGCCAAAATGAATTACAAGTTCTAACAGCAAATTTATCCCAGTTTTTAAATGTTGTCGAGCAACCATCTCTTCCATAATCTCTTAAGTAAACTCCAGGTGGAACTAAAGTATGTCCGAAACGAAAAGCAGCCGTTTGAAAAAGTTGATCAATTTGTGGATTAATCGATGGATTGTATCCTTTGTATGGTGGAAGAGGGTTATTCAACCATGTTGGTAACCATTCGTCGATAACGATGTGTTGTTGAGTTGCTATAACCCATTTTCTTGCTTCGTTAAAAACTTTATCGCTTGACCAGTTTGGCTGTAAATTTCGGATGTTTTGTGCTAAGAAATTGTGCCAACGAAACCATAAAACACCGAAAGTTAATAGAAAAGTGTTTTCATTTCCACGGGGATTTCCCAGTTTAAAAAATCTTTCAACTTTATCTAATTCATGTTGCTGAACGAAAATAGAATGTCTAGCTGGTGGTGGTGGATTTGCGAGTGGCAATCTTTGAGTGTTGTATTCTGGAAATAAACCACCGTGGCTATAAGCCAATTTTCCATCTTTATCAATAGTCCCATCTGAATAAGTTCTTAATTGATCAGCCCATTGTTTAGTTATTCCGTACATTAACCCTCCATCTAAAAATGGGGTAATTTCGTTTAATTGTTGTCGAGGATTATTTGGTGAATACCCAGTTTTTTGATCGTAACGGGTTCGCAATAACGGCATTTCACTGTGCATTTTTGCGTATTTATGATTTCCTGGTATGGGTATGTTGAAATACTCCGGTGGGCAAGCTGGTCTTTGGGCATCTAAAATTTCTTCGACAACTTGTTGACCAAAAAAAACTAAAAGCGCGGTTTTTCCTGTTTTGGACATCGTTCCTATTTCGCCAGAAAGGAGTTGATCGCTTAAATCAAAAGGATTTGGGCGATCTGCACCGGTGGGATGGTAAGTCCCATCGGCGTAAGCAGCTGGAGTTCTTCTTAAAAGATGACCATCTAAAAAAAAATAAAAATATTACTTAATAAAAATTTTTTTTAATAAAAAAATTTACCTATAGCTCCTAAATTTGGTTGATCCAAATTATTATAAAATCCATCATATCCAGGTAATTCCACTTCTTTATTTTCGAAACTGTTTCCATCAGGATTACCTGTCAGTAATTGAAGAGCAACAAAATTCCGAGGTTTAGATTCGTCAAATGCTTCATACCGACCACGCCATGACCCTAAATATGGGAAAATTGTTAAAAATTAATTGAATAAAACAGTGTATAAAAAATATTCTTACCCATTTGGGCCATAACAAGATTAAAAAAGCCAATCACAAAAGCGATCCTCATCGTTACAGATTAATGCATAAACTGCATATTATAACATGTATGAGTTGGCTTTTTATACAGGAAGGAAGTTTATATTGATATCGAGTGTTATGACACATTAACTCAACAAAATTCTTTCGGTCATATTTACATCCTATGATGAAAGTAAATATTTAGTATTTCAAAACTTATTTGATTACTTTTTAAAAAACATGTAATGGATTTAAAGATTATCGTTATTATTTGGATTGAGATTACTAGTTTATTATTTAATAAAATAAGTTTACTTAATAAAATTTTAAAGAATGTCATCTTGATTTTTCATTGAATACAACTTTATTTATATAAGGTTTGTCTTTAGTAAACTCACTATAACAATCCCAATACGATATATAAAATCTCTTGGTGCAGTTTCGTCTAGTTTTCTTCTCTTCGCTTGTAATTCATCATCACATTCATTACTAACAGAACTGTCTCTGTTATCACTTTCGATTATTAATTAAAGTATCCTCTGCTTAATGCAACAAGCCGTTTTGAAAAATCCCTTTTAGTTTTTGAGATATACATTTTTGAAATGAACGACTATTTTTTCGAATTTTACAATTTTCGCCGATTATGTTTTAAGAATTCGTATAAAATCCACTTCTTGTAATATGAGTATGAAAATTTCCTAAAATGTTAATAAGAGTGTCCTCTTTCCAACGAACCAATACGTTTTGAAAAATAACTTTTAGTTTTTAAGAAAAGAATGTTTGAAGTTTAGATAAAATTTTCGATGTTGTAATTTTCATCGATAACTTTCAAAATTCGATATAAAATTAATTTCTTGAAGCATCGTTGTGGAAATATCATCAATTATTAATTAAGGTATCCTCTTTTTAATGCAACAAGCCGTTTTGAAAAATCGCTTTTAGTTTTTGAGAAATAAATTTTTGAAATGATCGACAATTTTTTCGAATTTTGCTTAATCTAAAAATGTTAAAAATGGAGTAAATTTAAAAAATCGTGGAAGCGTTGTTTATGAAAATTAAGGAGTGAGGTTTATCGCAAATTAACGCTAAAAGTGTTCTCTTTCGAATGATATATAATAAATGTTAGGTTATATTTGGAAAATATGGAGAGAAAAAATGTTGAAGTAAAAGTAGCAATTTCGCTTAATCTAAAAATGATAAAAATTGTGTAAATTTAAAAAATCGTGGAAGCGTTGTTTATGAAAATTAAGGAATGAGATTTATCGCAAATTAAGGCTAAAAGTGTCCTCTTTCGAATGATATATAATAAATGTTAGGTTGTATTAGGAAAATATTGAGAAAAATGTCGAAGTAAAAGTAGCATTTTCGCTTAATCTAAAAATGTTAAAATAGAGTAAATTTAGAAAATCGTGGAGGCGTTGTTTATGAAAATTAAGGAGTGAGATTTATCGCAAATTAAGGCTAAAAGTGTCCTCTTTCGAATGATATATGATAAATGTTAGGTTGTATTAGGAAAATATGAACAGAAAAAATGTTGAAGTAAAAGTAGTGTTTTCGCTTAATCTAAAAATGATAAAAATTGAGTAAATTTAAAAAATCGTGGAAGCGTTGTTTATGAAAATTAAGGAATGAGACTTATCGCAAATTAAAGCTAAAAGTGTCCTCTTTCGAATGATATATAATAAATGTTAGGTTGTTTTAGGAAAATATTGAGAAAAATGTTGAAGTAAAAGTAGCGTTTTCGCTTAACCTAAAAATGTGAAAATTGAGTAAATTTAAAAAATCGTGGGAGCGTTGTTTATGAAAATTAAGGAATAAGATTTATCGCAAATTAAGGCTAAAAGTGTCCTCTTTCGAATGATATATAATAAATGTTAGGTTGTTTTAGGAAAATATTGAGAAAAATGTTGAAGTAAAAGTAGCGTTTTCGCTTAACCTAAAAATGTTAAAATTGAGTAAATTTAAAAAATCGTGGGAACGTTGTTTATGAAAATTAAGGAATGAGATTTATCGCAAATTAAGGCTAAAAGTGTCCTCTTTCAAATGATATATAATAAATGTTAGGTTGTATTAGGAAAATATTGAGAAAAATGTTGAAGTAGAAGTAACATTTTAGCTTAATTTAAAAATGTTAAAAATTACTCAAATCTAAAAAATCGTGGTAGCATTGTTTATGATAATTAAGGAATGAGATTTATCGCAAATTAAAGCTAAAAGTGTCCTCTTTCGAATGATATATAATAAATGTTAGGTTGTATTAGGAAAATATTGAGAAAAATGTTGAAGTAGAAGTAACATTTTAGCTTAATCTAAAAATGTTAAAAATTACTCAAATCTAATAAATCGTGGTAGCATTGTTTATGATAATTAAGGAATAAGATTTATCGCAAATTAAGGCTAAAAGTGTCCTCTTTCGAATGATATATAATAAATGTCATATTGTGTTAGGAAAATATTCAGAAAATTGTTGAAGTAAAAGTAGCGTTTTCGCTTAACCTAAAAGTGTTAAAAATTGAGTAAATTCAAAAAAATCGTGGAAGCGTTGTTTATGAAAATTAAGGAGAGAGGTTTATTGCACATTAAAGCTGAAAGTGTCATCTTTCGAATGATATATAATAAATGTTAGGTTGTATTAGGAAAATATTGAGAAAAATGTTGAAGTAAAAGTAGCGTTTTCGCTTAACCTAAAAGTATCAAAAATTTGGTGAATTTAAAAAATCGTGGAAGCGTTGTTTATGAAAATTAAGGAATGAGATTTATCGCAAATTAAGGCTAAAAGTGTCCTCTTTCGAATATAATATAATAAATGTTAGGTTGTATTAGGAAAATATGGAGAGAAAAAATGTTGAAGAAAAAGTAGCGCTTTCGCTTAATCTAAAAATGTTAAAATAGAGTCAATTTAAAAAATCATGGTAGCGTTGTTTATGAAAATTAAGGTGTGAGATTTATCGCAAATTAAAGCTAAAAGTGTCCTCTTTCGAATGATATATAATAAATGTCAGATTGTATTAGGAAAATATTCAGAAAAATGTTGAAGTCAAAGTAACGTTTTCGCTTAACCTAAAAATGTTAAAAATTAAGTTAATTTAAATAATCGTGGAAGTGTTGTTTATGAAAATTAAGGAATGAGATTTATCGCAAATTAATGCTAAAAATGTCCTCTTTCGCATGACATATAATAAATGTTAGGTTGTATTAGGTAAATATGGAGAAAAAAAAATGTTGAAGTAAGAGTAACATTTTCGCTTAATCTAAAAATGTTAAAAACTACGGAAATTTTAAAAATCGTGGTAGCGTTGTTTATGATAATTAAGGAACGAGATTTTTTGCATTTCTGGGAATATGTGTTTTTTAATAACTCCACTTCTTTATGTATTAGAACCTTGTTCTGCTAAACAGTCTTTTTTTGAATATTTTTTAGTATAATATATTGTCATAATATTTATTTATTCTTGAGACACCTCAGTTATTTTCCGTTTAAGAAAATAACAAAGTGTTGTAAAAGTTTTGTTGATAATGGCTAGCAGCAGCAGAAGTTTTGGATGCAAGAACAGTCCTGATTTGTTCTGATCTATTTACAGCACGACCAATTACAACTGTTATAAAACAGGCGTGGTCTCATTATTTTGGCTTTGCTTTGACGAATTTAGACAAGCCACTTTGGAAAGATGGATGGCGGGCGAATCTACGCGTTTTCAATTTGGTATTTGTTATTTGTTTGGTCATAGATATCAGATCATTCCGACTGTTATTTCTGTAATATAAACCTAGACGGCAAGAGTAAAAAAACAAAGAGAAGTTTGGTTTTCCCTCATGTAAGATCAACCAAAAAGCCGATTCTGCACAGCGAAACTTTACCAAGACCAAATTCTCCTGACTGATTAATGCAATTCAACTGATAAGAGTGAACATATGTCATCTAGCAGCGACTATGATGCCAAAATAAACCATAAAATGTCACGGAAAGTACTAAGTGACTTAGCTAGAGACCTGAAGTTGTCGAATAATTGTTTTGATACAGCTCTTCTAGCTCATCGCTAGCATACACCCTGTTACTACCATGATTTCACACACATTCGTTGCAGCACATTGTCTCCGATTTTTCGCATTCAATGTTAATTCGTTTATTTGTATTTTCAACAATTGACAAGAATAGGCAAACTTTTCGGAAGTGCTTGCAAAAAGCAATCAAGTTTGAATGAACTCCTATTCAGCTTTGCTAATACAATTGCGTTCCTAACTTGAGGCATAGCCTTCTGGGTTAAAAATTTGCGATTTTGTCGATATCATACTAGTGTATCACACCATCATTATTATTGTTATTTGGGTTTTCATCCGAATCGGAAGAGGGTTTTGAAGAGCTATTCTTCAATTTCTTCTTCAAAAGGCTCAAAATCTGAATCTGAGTTATCACTACAATGAAATGGATCCACATCTTCTTCGGAAAGATTGTCGATTTCATTTTCCAACTCTTTCTGGGTTAGATATTTTTTTAGCCATTAAGATCGGATTAAGATAGTTGAAGGAGCGCTCTTTCTGACTGTGATAACAGTTTTTTAAGAATCGGTTTGATAACAATTTTGAGCTATTTTAAGTACAGAGCGATGTTTAGCAATTTCGTGTTTAGCTTTGAATTTTTTAAAAATTAATAATTTATATATTTATATTATTTACGATAAAGACACTACGTTGTAATTTTCACCAGATATTTGATGTGACGAAATCAGTATAAATTTCATAACATATACGTAAGTAACAAATTAACTAAGTACTATTAATGTATCATCTTCTCTATTGATAACTCTTAATTCGGCAGATCTTTACAATTTAAATCCCATTAAAGTAAATCTATAAATAAATTCAGATCTTCTTTGTGATTGTTTTTGGAATGAGTCGTTGACGTGCAATAAAATTGTGGTTTTTTAGCAGTTCCAAGAAAATCTGGTGGCGATTCATGCTTGATGACTAAAAGATAAAGCAACTATAAAACAAGTGTAAATCTGAAGAGATTCATAAGAATATTGTCTCTTCGCCCATTAAGAATAACAACAATCATGGTGAGTTCGTTTTTTAATCTTTTAATAACACGTTTTTAACAAATTTTTTTTTGTAGAAATTTTTAACATCGTTAGTTTTTATTATCGTTTCAAACGTTTTAATAATTTCTTCAAATCCTATCAATAATGATAATGAAGAAGAAAATATAACGGTTAGAAACGACGATTTATTAACTCCAAACACATCTCCTTCATCGGATGAAGAAATAATGGAACCTGATTCAACGATTGTTTTCAGGCCGTTATTTGTGTACAGACAACAACAAGCAAAAAGAAGGAGAAATTATCAAAGACCCTGCAGAAGAATTGATTACAATAATTATCCTATTTTTAATAATGACCGTTTTGAATTTCCTGCAATTTTCGGTTAAATCACATAAATTCGACAGCCCAATAAATAAAAAATAATAAACTAGTGGACACAGCGATGACGCATTTATTGATAAGATAATTTTGTTATTTATAAAAGTGTGTTGTTGACTTGGAATTTGAATGATGTAATATTATTTTTCTGTTTAATATAGAAGTTTTGCGGCGGAGTTTGTTTTTGTTTTTAAGTGCCTTAAAAGCTCGCGGTTGCGTCGTTTTAGAGAGCTTTTAGTTCGACACGTCGCGTTCCTGAAAAATATTAATCCGTTGAGTTTGGACCGCGTCCAAAACTCCTCGCCCTCTACCAGAACTTGCCACTTTCGGCTTAAGGCTTATCGCCCTTTCCTTGTTACTAAACGATCCTTAGCATGTGTGGCTTAGATTTAAGACTTAAACGAGATTCTTTTAATTTATAAAGAATAAGGTTTAAAATTTCAATAAAAATTTATACAGTTATTACAGTTTAGTAACTTAACTTTTTTTACGGTTTTTTATATACTCTATATAATTTATAAAAAATGTAATGCATATATCGTTATAGTTGCGGTTTTTGTGAATTTAAGCGCTGAATCTTTCTTATCATAACAACCGTTGGTGACAACTTTTACATAAGATATATATTTTGTACGTAAGACATTCCTATTTTTAAAAGTACTTTTTTGCTTAAAATACTTCAAGGAATTCAAAAATGTATTTGTAATTTAAATTAACATAATAATGTAGAAATTACAAGGTCAAAACGAAGACATTCCCATTTTTGCAGGTTTTAACGTTTAACAAATTTTATCTCGAGAAAGGTTGCTGTTACAACTTTTAACTAACAGTACTTTTTTGCTTAAAATACTTCAAGGAATTCAAAAATGTATTTGTAATTTAAATTAACATAAAAAAGTAGAAATTACAAGGTCAAAACGATGACATTCACATTTTTGCAGGTTTTTAAGTTTTTTTAGCACAAAACCAATTCTATCTCGAGAACAGTTGTTGTTTCAGCTTTTAACTAACAGTACTTTCTTGCTTAAAATACTTCAAGGAATCCAAAAATGTATTTGTAATTTACATTAACATAATAATGTGGAAATTACAAAGTCAAAACGAAGATACTATAATTTTTGCAGGTTTTAACGTTTTTTAGCACAATACCAATTTTATCTCGAGATCACTTGCTGTTACAACTTTTAACTAAGAATACTTTTTTGTTTAAAATACTTTAAGGAATTCAAAAATGTGTTTGTAATTTAAATTAACATAATAATGTAGAAATTACAAGGTCAAACGAAGACATTCCCTTTTTTGCAGGTTTTAACGTTTGAGAAATTTTATCTCGAGAAAGGTTGCTGTTACAACTTTTAACTAAGAGTACTTTTTTGCTTAAAATACTTCAAGGAATTCAAAAATGTGTTTGTAATTTAAATTAACATAATAGAGTAGAAATTACAAGGTCAAAATGAAGATACTATAATTTTTGCAGGTTTTAACGTTTTTTAGCACAAAACCAATTTTATCTCGAGATCACTTGCTGTTACAACTTTTAACTAAGAGTACTTTTTTGTTTAAAATACTTTAAGGAATTCAAAAATGTATTTGTAATTTAAATTAACATAATAATGTAGAAATTACAAGGTCAAAACGAAGACATTCCCTTTTTTGCAGGTTTTAACGTTTAACAAATTTTATCTCGAGAAAGGTTGCTGTTACAACTTTTAACTAACAGTACTTTTTTGCTTAAAATACTTCAAGGAATTCAAAAATGTATTTGTAATTTAAATTAACATAAAAAAGTAGAAATTACAAGGCCAAAACGAAGACATTCCCATTTTTGCAGGTTTTTAAATTTTTTTAGCAAGAAACCAATTTTATCTCGAGAACAGTTGCTGTTACAACTTTAAACTAAGAGTACTTTTTTGCTTAAAATACTTCAAGGAATTCAAAAATGTGTTTGTAATTTAAATTAACATAATAAAGTAGAAATTACAAGGTCAAAATGAAGATACTATAATTTTTGCAGGTTTTAACGTTTTTTAGCACAAAACCAATTTTATCTCGAGATCACTTGCTGTTACAACTTTTAACTAAGAGTACTTTTTTGTTTAAAATACTTTAAGGAATTCAAAAATGTATTTGTAATTTAAATTAACATAATAGAGTAGAAATTACAAGATCAAAATATTCCTATTTTTACAGGTTTTAACGTTTTTCAGCACAAAACCAATTTTATCTCGAGATCACTTGCTGTTACAACTTGTAGTTAAGAGTTATCATCACTTTACTTTATTTACCAACTTTCTTGATTGTTATCTTATGGTTGTACTCATTATAGTTGTCGCTGATGATGGGGTAATCCGAAACTAGTTCGACTTTATCTAAATAAATGTAAGTTAGAACATGGTTCTTATGTTAGAACCATGGACATGGTTTTTATTTGATCATTAATCTTGCAACATGGATTACTCCTTCAATTTCATCGTTAATACTTCATCACTTATCCATGGATTTAAGAAGCTATATACGAGACTGGAAATCATAGATAATCACATCAAATTCATTAATATTTGTATAAAAGAAGATTTAATACAAAATTTTGCGAAGTTTAAGTGTAACATGCTCAAAGAAACAACTAAACATAACATCATTAGAAATATACTGCGGGATGAGAGGAGGCGACACTACAAGAGGCAGAACATTACATACGAACAAATGGCAAGAACACAGAGAACCCTAAACAAGAATCTACATTACATAGAATTGGATGAAATAATGAAAGAATCCATCAACGAGGCCAACATCACGAAGAGAGACGATCTACGTAGGAAAATGAGGAAGATAGATAGCTTAAGGAGAAATAAGGATAATTAAAATAAAAAACGCATTGCCTAAACTTCATAAAAAAAACTTTCTTATAAGACCCATTATAAGTTCCATTGACTCAAGTACACATAAAATTTCGAAAATGTTATTGAGTATATTCACAGATATCACAACTTTTAAACCCAAACATACCATCACAAGTAGAAGAGAATTGATTACTGCACTGGAAAAATGTGTTCTACCCGAAAAATATCTCATGGTGTCCTTCGATATCGTAAATCTGTACACCAACATCCCTACAAAACAAACTTTACAGATTTTAAAAGAAATATTAAATGATAAATTAGCCGACCACAATGACAGCTTTAATTTATTTAAACTTTTTCAATTATGCATAGAGCAAAATTTCTGCTCATTTGAAAAGAAGATTTACACCTACTCCGATGGACTACCCATGGGATCGCCATTGAGTGGATTGCTAGCGGATGTATATCTTGACAGACTCGAAAATGAAGACATCAATAATCCCAAGAACCCATTTTACAAAAACATAATTTTATGGAAAAGATATGTAGACGACGTTTTCGCAATTATAGACATCTCCAATAAAAACGAAACTGATAACATTCTACAATACATAAATGGTTCACAACAAAATATTAAATTTACGATGGAGATAGAAGAAAAGAATAAGCTAAACTTTTTAGACCTCACAATAAAGAAGAACAACAACACATTGATATTTGATATCTATCGAAAAAAGACCCAAACCGATATAATTGTACCGTATGACTCCTTTCACGAACCGTCACATAAATTTTCTGCTTTTCATGCATTAATAGACAGAGCCCTCACATCCAACCTTGATGAAGAAAAAATGTTAATGAAACTTAGTACAATAAAACAAATAGCACATAATAATCAATTCGAAATAATCAATTTGAGAAGTTTATCTTGTATGCCAGAGCTAGAGCTTGCAATACCAGGAATCCGGACAATTCTTGTCCGGTATTAAAAATCGGAATTCATCACTGTCCATGATGGAGCTCATTGACAGTGATGAATTTTGTAATAAAGTGGCTAATATTATTAGTAAGGAATTAAAAAGTATTAAAGAAAATGTAACGCGACTTGAAGATGAAAACCGGTCTCTCAAGAAAAAAGTGGTGCAACTTGAGCAATATACACGCCGCAATAATTTACGTATATATGGAGTTCCTGAAAATAATAATGAAAATGTTGAAGAAAATATCTTGCAGATTTGTAAGGAAAAATTAAATGTTGACCTTCCTTCTACATCTATCGACAGATGTCATCGTGTTGGTGGGCGTAGTGGTTCTAAACCGCGCGGAATTATAGTGAAATTTATCAGCTATAAATATCGCAATAAGGTTTTTGAATCCAAGCGGCTGCTAAAGGGCTCTCAAGTTATAATTAATGAAGATCTAACCAGGGAAAATTACGAGTTGTTGATGATGGCTAAAGAGAAATATGGTCGAAGAGAAGTTTGGTCACGTGATGGAAAAATTTTTGCTAGAGTTAACAATACCACAATTCATGTTGGATCTATGATGGATATTGGTGATGTTGATCTGAACTTGAAAAGTAAGATTAAAAATGTAAAATAGGACTCTACCTTTTCTGTTTATGTTGGAAAAAATTTTTTTTTGTATTCTTTTTTTTTATTTTTCTTTTTTTTGTATTGTTTTGATTTATTGTTTTTTTTTATGTAGTTATATTTATTTCTGTTTTGTTGATCTTCACCATGGATTTGAACGCGTTGACTGCCAGTCTACGACATAATTCACGCGAAAACAATAGATTTATACTGTTTCCACAAAATCTCGGCAGTCGTCGCGTTAGTATATGCATATGCATATGTATTTATATATATGTATATATATGTGTGTATATATGTTTAATTCTGTATTTAATGCGTATCTGCAATAAGCGAGATTGGCATTTGATTCTTGTTTTTTTTTCTTATCGATTACTATTATTTTATATAATTATTATAATTTTCAATGAATTTTGCAATTGCACATTTAAATGTTAGGTCAATTTTTTCGCATTTCGATAAATTTAAGCATTTAATTCTTTTACATGGTTATGATGTGGTTGGAGTTTCGGAGACATGGCTGGATCAGCATGTCGATGTTGATTTTTTAGCTATTGGAGGTTACACTTTTTATCACGTTCCTAAACGAACAAGATGTGGTGGTGTGGGGTTTTATGTTAAAAATAATTACAAGTACACAATCATATTTGAGGATATGGCAGATGACATTGAGCAGGTGTGGTTTAATATACACATCAAAAATAAAAAAAATATTACAGTTGGAGTTGTTTACAGACCTCATAA